TATAAACCAGCAATAGCCAAGGTTTGATTCCAACATTCTTCTCTAGATTCCAGGCGAGCAAATAGGGAGCGTCATCATGGCGGGGCTAGGGATGTACACGTCGGAGAACTCTCCGTCAAGGCACCCAGACAATCCTTTCCAAAGCACTAGATCTCTGCAGTAGTCAATCTTACAGTAAAGTTGCATGCATCAGCTGATTTACCTAGGATTAAAATGGATAAACAGCGTAGGTCATAATCACAGGATCAGTAGAGCATATCATGGAGCTAGCCAGAGGCAAGGTGGTGAAAGCTTAACCACCTACACTCGTCCATATTGATTGCATCGAGTCAAGCCTGGTAGACTGTCACTCAGGAACACGTTTGGACAACTGGATCCCAGATGTGCACTCAATGTTTAGGCCAGGCAGCAACACGTCTGCCTAACAAACAGGGATCAATGCCAAGAGGTGACATCCAGACCCAGCATAACCACCGGATTATAGACAATCAGGAGTAAAATTGACCAGCAACAACAGCCAACATCCAATAGTTCAACAAGGCCGGCCTCTGACTCCGCCGTGCTCTGCCTCGTGGCCAGTCTTCGCAGCCATCCCCATCGGATTTGGCATCATGCATTGAGCTTCTTCGAGTTTGAGGTACCGACTTCGCCCGCAGAACGGGACCTGGTGAACAGCTTGATGGCGGTCTACGGTGCGAGAGATGTTTTCATGGGAGTGGCTTTGTTCTCCGCTCTTTTCACCGGTCATCCCAAGTCTGTCGGCTGGATCATGATTGTGACCAGCACGGTTGCGTATGTGGATGGGTTTGTCTGCTGGGCACATAGGAAGCGGTAGTGGAACCATTGGGGGTACGTGCCCATTTTTACCGTGGTAGGGACGCTGTTTTGGGTCTTTTTGATACGAGGTAGATGCTGGTGATATTGGTATGGAGGGATTCTCACTTGATCCTAGATGGGATATGACTGAGATATGTAATATTATCTGCGATAGCCAATACTATTAGATCTTAATACATTTCAGCCCCTATGCCGTTGGAGTATCTCTCATACCAGCAACCGTCAGAGAAGCACAAGGAAATCTGAACAATCTCCCCAATCAATCTACCTCCTAGACCCCTTTAATACAGTGCATGCGGGATACTTAACAAATCGATATGCCTAGCAGACGCATCGCCAGAATTGCGGTCGCTTGCGAAGAAATCCAAGAGACAGAATAGTAAATTTCAGTGTCTTTGATCGACTCGTTTGCAAAGCCGTGCGATTCTTCGAGCAACCTGGTGACCAGATAGGCCCCCGACTTCACTCCATGAGAGAGTCCTTGATTTACCAAGCTCTGTATGACATCACCTTCTGGTCCGGAGTATCCACGAGCCTGCTTATAATCCCAGATAGAAAGTCGAATGAGACCCAACCGCGGCCAGAAATAAGGGCAACACTCTTCACTACACAGGTCTCCAGGAGGAATTCGACTTCACCCTTTCAGCATGTTGCTGTACAACAGGAGTTTCAGGAAATAGGGCCACATACACATGATGAAGCAAGGGACAAGATGTAAGCTCCCTCACGAGCTCCTGGGCATGCTCTTCCGCCGCGTCAACATGACATCTCATGGGGTAAAGGTCCAAACATCTGATGGTGCTCCTGGCATTGCGCACCGTGGAGGACAGGCCGTCAAGTAAGATGACCATCTGGTTATAACAATAGAGCATCAAGTGTTCTAACGGGGCCTTGGGGTGAACAATACCAGTAGGCCCCTCGAAGGATGGTGCGCAGTTTCGCCACTCTACCGATCGAAGACTCTAACCTGATTGCAAGATGCGTCGTATCTCCGCACTGTTTGGACACCCTGTGCATCCCCAGATAGTGAGGTACTTGAGACCGGCGATGATAGGGGCCACTGCGTGATGAGAGAATTCGCGCAGCATCAGATTGTTGGGTTCAAAAAGCTCCAACCTCTCAAGTCTCGGGCGCACGTAGTCCCGGAAGGCTTTCGCAACAGTGCCTATCACTTCTACTCCCTCACTTGGGTCAGAGGACTTGAAGAAAGTATCACCACGAACTCGCATGACCCGTATGTATCGACTGGCTCCAGACTGGGCTAGTTCCAGTAATGCCTGAATATCATCCCGTTTCTCGAGATCGGAATCGCTCCGTTCTTTCTGGAATAGGCGGACTGCCTGGAATAGAATTTGCGTTGCGCTGTAGCAGAATGGCCTGCTAACTACGCGGAGGCTTTTGAGGAATTGGCTTGATCCATCTCCATGGCTGGCGAAGACGGCGATCTAGACTTCAATACTAGTCTCCGTAGTGTCTACTGGTGTTTTTATCATACCTGGTCGATTATTTCCTGCGGAAGGGAGGCTATTGTTATTATGTTGTGGGGCGTGTTGACTGGGAGAGTGTGTTGAACAACTTAATGGGAGTGTCAGGCTACAATTAGTGGCAGATACGTAGGATTGTACGTGGGAATCGTTGCATCATTATTTTGTATGTAATGAATCAGGCGCAATGATGCAGTAGTGATGAGATAGACCATGCTTATCAATTTGTCCCCAAACTCTGTATGCTCTCCTTACAGTTTGGCCCTACTTTCTTTGTCCTACTCTTTGAATATCATGCGCCGTGGAGTGTAGACACCATAAACCTGGAATAACCTAAGATTACCATTGATCATGGAGCTTGGTTGCATACTGGGTGAAAGCTTGTCATCTGCAATTACTGAGAATTTGGAGATAGGCTGATCTCAGTATATCGCAACAATCCACGAGATCCTGGCAGGTAACAATGGGTGATAAATTGATCCTAAAGCACCCAAAGGAATGCTGGGGGTATTACTGGGTAACGTCTAGAATTGTTAGTAAACAAAGCTGAACATGAAATGACTCCGAGCCGCACAAATGGGTGTGATAAACAAGTGAGAAAAGCCAGATGATTGAATGATATTCACTACTTGCAAGAATCCCATAGCCTGCTCAACTCCCCTTCCCCTCCAATCTAAGCCCTCTTTGTTTTGTCTTTCTTCTTTCTCACTTGCTCCCTTTGTCTCTCCATCTTCTTCTCTACTGGTTACAGAGTGAGAGGTTACAGCTTATCATACTCACGCTCCAGTTGTCGCCTCCTTGTCTATTGAGCAAATACGACGTTTGGGACATTTCCAGCAAGGTCTCACATCGTACAGGATCATCTTTGCAAGTAGCCGCAAAAGCACCATAGTTCTCCCATTTGAGACTTGTCACCATCGAGGTTAGTAGCCTGGAACTCACAAGTATTCCCTTCTGCTCATAATCTATAATCAAACAGAGATTATCCAACGATGTCATCTACGTCCAGCAAAGAACCGGTCCCATGCGACGACGTCATAGTCACTCCTCAGAGTGATCTGACCGTGGAGATCATTGAGTACGACGAGGACTACGGCCATAAGGTACCATCAAGAACCGGCTTGCTGCATATCAGCAAGGATACATTGGCGAGTTCAAGCAGTTATTTCCAAGCCATGTTAGGAAGGAGCTGGGTAGAGTCGAAAAGCGACAAGATCGTCTTGCACGATGACCCCGTGAGAAGCATGGAGATTTGGTTTCGACTCTTTCACTCCACCTTGAATATGGTCAAACTGGACGATGTCACAGTCACGGATATCTGGCATGTCATACTAGCCAGTGATAAGTACGAGTTTGACCGACAGCAGCTGCTGGATTGGTTTATCACATGGTACCGCAATGCAACAGCTGTAGGTATATATCGCAATAACCTTGCTAGGAAGTTGATGCTCCCTTGCTACGCATTTGACTACGCCGAGGGGTTCCAGGTCCTGACCAAAAGCCTGGTGTATAAGGAGATCGGCCATATCACGGAGATTAGTCCGATCGACAACATGAAGTTACATCTCCCACCACGAATTATCCGTAAGATTTCATCCCTCGACGCGTACCCACTACATGTACAGCACTTACTAACAAGCCTGGCGCATCTATAGAGCAGTTGAATGCCGCTAGAGGACGCCTCCGCAACATCTTGGACCGGGAGTTATTTGCCAAGATCAATTTGTTGATTGATCATGGCTCATGTCGCTGTAAGGAGGAAACAGTTTTCAATTACCTCAGGGAACTGGGCAGAATCGATGTTCAGCCACTGGTAGAGCGGTCATTTTCCCGGGCCAGTGTTCAATGCTACCTCGATCGACTGAGACAGTTCGACCAAGAACGCATGTTGAGAAAAATTTCCGGAGATCGCTGTCTGCATTGCTGTTTCGATTGGAAAAAGGGTGTGGAAAGGGCAATCCAAGTGACGACTGAGTATTTTGATGGTCTCTGTCTTGATTGTATGAAAATCACAGTTAGGGATGATGAGGATTACTGGGATCACGCTCGCTTTAGAGAGCGATATGACCGGAATTGCCGCATCACTCATGGGGAGCCGACGTGTTATTTCAGCTTCATGGCGCGCCGTGAGAAAAGGGGACTAGTTGCACCTTAGCTCGAGGGCTGAAAAGCGGCAATTGCCATGAGGCCTCGTGTTGAATGGATGAGGGATTGATCACTGCCATTGTGCCAAGCATGAGAAAGGCATTATTGAAGCGATGCAATCCCCGCTTGTAGCTAAGAAAACCATTTCCACCATCATTGTACTCGGAAAGCGCTCTGATTGTTGAATTCGTATGGCGACAGACTGGCTCGCCAGGTATTTAACATTGTTACCTACCCACCCATCCACCAGCAATATGCTTGAATAACATAGAAGAGGTGTGTTGCATTAGCAAGTGAAGTATGGGTACCAGTTACTTATATTATCTTGAGGAGTCTCGTAATCGAATGATTCTGACGGGGCATTGACTGGTTAGAATTCTTGCCATTGTCTAGCGGCAGAGCAGGCGTTGAGAGACAACAGCAGGCGAAGTTATACCACAGCCAGGAAGTCATGCAGTCTAGTTATATGCACGAGGGCAGGGTTTAATGATATGACACAAGACAAGAGGCCATACCCCCACATAGATACCTACCTATAAACGATTACACCCGATTCCCCTGCGAGTCCAGCCCCTGTGAACGGGGCGGATAAGGCATCGGAAGCAACCACCGGAAAGAGTGGGCTGACCGAACTGGCCCTCCTGATTGCGGCGAAGACGAGTTGCCTCTTGTACTCGGGAGTCGCGTCGACAAGCTGCACCCACCAACTTGAGGGATGAGTCGGCGCCGGGTGCAAGCTTCGCCTGGGCGGCAAACTTGTGCTGCGCCCTCCTTTGAATAGACCCAACACTCTTGACCGTTAGTCCTGCACCTCCCACAGCGCGCGTCACCGAATCGCTGCTTCCCAAGCTCAGTTTCCATAATTCGGCCGATATGTCCAAAGCTGCGGCATTTGTCTTTAGGAAGACGCTCTAGCTCGAACGAGGTGCGATACCACCATTTGCCGACTACAGTGGGCGTATAAATTGTTCTATCTTTGCCTTGGTTCCTCCAGTTCCAAGACAGACGGGGCTGGTCAGCAATCTGTGATCGGGTGAACTCGTCATGGGAGGTAAAAGAAGAAGAGACGGCGGGTGCAGCTACTGTGGGAGTCCCAAACAGATTGGGACTTGGTCTAAGTTGCCGATCAGCATTTGGCTCTCTTACTTGATAGCTCTCTACCTACCAAGGAGAAGGAGGAGGGCTTGTGTCGGCCACTGGGTATCCCTCCTCCTGCATGGCTATGCTAGCGAGAAGATCATTGTGAAGAATCCGCTCGTGGTCCTCCAATTCATCCGAGTCGTCGTGGCTGGATGGAACATCGGCCACGAACAATTCATTGTCCTCATTATTCGGCTCAGCTTGAACGGATGGAACATTACGAAGAATCAGCTCGTCCTCCGGATTGGCTTTCATTGACGGAGCATCCTGCAGGATCGCTTTATGGTCCTCATGTTCATCTAGATCGGAGTTCGAAGATGGTATAGTGGGAAGTCTCGACAGGAGCTCTGCGGCATTCATGAGTAGGGCCATTCTAAGTATTTTTCAACGTGGAGAGACCGACGGGAGGCTACCGCGATTGCCTTGACTCCTACCCCTCGCCTACAGGACTATCAACCATCAGGCAAAGCGCCGAAGAGTAGAAAAATAATTGATGACCGCGCCCTGGCAACGAAATATGCATGTGACGGGTAGAGAGCTTCATGAACTATATGTTTTAGGGTATTGAATTATGGCTACACATCTTCTCAGGAGTTTCCACGAGTTATAAATATTGCCCTACCGCCTTCCACTTCAGGACGCGTATCGTGAAGCTTTTCAACTCTATCGTGTTGTTCTGCCAGGTACGCCAGGCTGATCGCTTGTCATTTGTCCGGGTAATCCACCGCCCTCGGTAAAGAAACCTTCTCACGTGTGTGATACAGTCTAACCTCGATAGGAATAGCGATATCTTCTACCAAGGTTCCCTCCTCAGATGGCCTCAGGCACCGTCCCGTGATCGACATCTGCAGGTTGGATGGTTTGAGTTCCCTCATTGGATCATCACGTTGCACTATGGCGAGAGTCCGCCAAGCAACTCCACTCCCACGGAGTCCGATGGAGAACGCAATGGCCCCAAGGCCTGATGGCATGTCGGTGAGAGGGGTAAGCCATCGCATTGCCGCATTGCCGGCAAACAGCGGCTAAATTGGCTGGCTTATATGCAAGAGAAGTTCCCCAAGGATCTTCATGCGCGAGTTCCCAACTTTCCTCCGGATCCCTGACAGCATTAAACTGTGACGATGCTGAAATTCCTGCTGTCAGTGACCTCTCTGCTTGCCTCGGCGCAGGCATTCCAGTATACGCCATTGCAATTGGCATATCCTGAGCTGCGCGCAAAGCAACAACAACAATTGACCCCGGATTCGGCAGTGAAATCGCAATTGGCAACGGCTGAGTACCCTGCGTACCATCTTTCGGTGCCTGTTGATCATTTCCATAATGACTCGCGCTATGTGCCGCACAGCAACGACCATTTCGACTTGCGGTACTGGTTTGACGCTCAACACTACAAGGAAGGAGGTCCAGTGTTTGTGATCGCCGCCGGGGAAACCGATGCGACCGCCCGATTCCCTTTCTTATCGCAGGGCATCGTCACCGAACTGGCGGCTGCATATCACGGCATTGGAGTTATTCTAGAGCATCGTTACTACGGCGAAAGTTTCCCAGTAGAAAACCTGACAACAGAGAACATTCGATTTCTCTCAACGGACCAGGCGTTGGCCGATTATGCATACTTCGCTTCCAACATCGTCTTTCCCGGACTAGAGCATGTAAATCTCACCGCTAAAACGACACCCTGGATCGCCTATGGTGGATCGTATGCCGGCGCCTTTGTCGCCTTCCTGCGCAAGCTCTACCCCGACGTCTACTGGGGTGCTGTTTCTTCCTCAGGCGTCACCGAAGCCATCATAGATTTCTGGCAGTACTACGAGCCGATCCGCAAATTTGGCCCGTCCGATTGCATCTGGGCGACCCAAACCTTCATCGACGTCGTAGACCGCATCCTAATAGACCATGCCGACAATAAAACGCTAGGCCAGCAGCTGAAATCCTCGGTGGGAGTCAGCCCCGACAAGGATGATGTCTCCTTCGTTTCGCTGCTTTCATATGGTCTCGATAGCTTCCAATCACGCAACTGGGATTCCAACATCGGTAGCTCTTTCTTCCGAACCTACTGCGATAACATTACCAGCATCGACTTGCTGTACCCCGACACTGAAACCGTTAAACCCACTGTCCAGGAGCTTATCGATGTGGCCGGATACGATTCATCCAACTCCAGCTTCGTGAACGGTTTCTTGAACCACATTGGCTTTCTCAACCAGTCCATTCCCAGCGGTGTGAATTCAGCCGAAGCTGAGGATTCCGACGCATCCGACTCTAGATCGCTCCCCAAAAGCGACGGTATCAGTTGGGAATATCAGGTTTGCACTGAATGGGGCTACTTCATGTCTGGTGCGTCCGTACCGAAGGATATCATGCCTCTGATCTCGCGCGTTTTGGATGTTGCCAGCGTATCAACCTTCTGTGAACAGCTATATGGGATCGCCTCTCCGCCAAACGTCACGAATATCAACAAACACGGCGGATTCAACTTCTCTTACCCGCGAGTGGCCATCATCGATGGTCTGGCGGACCCCTGGCGTGATGCGACACCGCACGCCGATGGCACGCAGGAGAGGGAATCCACCGATGACGAGCCATTCATCTTGATCGACGTCCCGGCGGAGGATGTATGGGACGGTATCCGGGGTGCTGTGCACCACTGGGATCAGAATGGCCTTTCCAAGAACGATGAGGATAAAGGCCAAGAGCCTCCGGCGGCTATTGTGGAGGTGCAGAAAGAGGTTCTGCGGTTTGTTGGCGTGTGGCTGAAGCAGTGGAAGCAGCGGTCTCGGGGTTCCTCTCGACCGGTTAAGGGAATTAGAGGCGGCCCTGGGCGTAGCCAAGTGCCACTCTAAGCGATGGTATACAATGTCTCTTGTAAATGTCAGCTAAGAAGCTGCTCGCTATGTGAATATATACTAGTGCCTCCACACTCGTTTAACTTTCTGTATACAAATGATTACGCATTTAATCCCAAGTCTAGAACCACACTCCACCGTGGACATTTAAGTACTATATTCCCTCCAAAACAAGTTTCAATGTTTCTCGAAATAGGAAGTTATTCAGAACTGGAAATTGCCCAGAATCGACGATCTATCTAATGAATATGGTGAACAGCAACAGCTGGATTAATAAAAAGTTTGAACAGGCATGGAAACTATATAAACACAATTGCATTCACCCCAGACCATCAGATTCTGGCAACTGTACACGATAACTCTTAGACCCTCCTCTTGCATTTAGCTTCGCCATCAACATTAGAGATCAATGATAAGTAGTCCGAGATAATCTAGGAGATCTTTCTCTCCCGAAAGTACATGTCTGCAAGGTCTGTGTTATCGAAGTATATAGACATCTGAAATATCCCACGCGTGAATCTATTGTCTCCTACAGGCCGCACTAGGATAATGAACTATTCTCATACAGCATTTGAAAGAGTATTGTCCCTCAAATCCAAGCCCTGTCCCGGAAGAGCAAAAGTATAGAACCGATAAAAGCAAAGGTGTCCGCGCGTTAATATGCAAGTCAACATATATAGATTTAACTATCGTCCTGGAATACTACTCAATATATGAATATATCAAGTAGTATATAGAGGTTTATTTGGCTTTTTAGAATACCATCAATATAATCTATCACCACTGGTCCGCGGTACTCTCTGGCTGACACGAATAACTCCTGGATGCTGCAATCGGTCCCAAGCGTAACATTATTCTAAGCAATGAATATACTGTAGGGATCCATGGCAGGCACCACGTAGTCAGCCGGTCTTTGTCATTTTGTCCTATTGCGGCCGTGTTTAACTTTTTGCCATCCCGTCACCTTTTCCCAAATCCCGTCCACCAGCGAGGGTCTCTGGTAATCCTGAAAGTCATTGCTGCACAATGAAAACACGATGCTGAGATAGCACAAGAATAATGATTATAGAACACGGTTAAGAGAACATTCAGCCTCAACGTCTAGATTAACCAGGCCACTCTATCAGAGGGCTTTGTTAGTCCGATTTCCATAAACTTCAAACAAGAGACATGATAGCATACCTCGTCGACCTTCTCTTTTGAGCAACAATAAACGTCACCAAAAGCGCAATTTTCGCCGAGTGCCCCAGGTGAGACGTTGCCCAACGAGATGAGGCCACCATTTCCTTGTCCTTGACACACAACAGTTCCTGTACTAGCGCAGATGCAGCCATCGCAGGGGCTGTTAGGGCTGGCCAGAACGGCGGCAGTGAAAGTGAAAAGTACTATGGAAGCCTTCATGATGGCGGGAGAATGACAAGAGACAGATTGAAGGAGGTAGACGGAGACCTGGAAAAATGGAAGACGGGCTCGTTTTCACCGGAATCGAGTTAGGAAAAGTATTTGACTAAGGCTGAGCAAGACAACATATTGCCACGAAGGTGGAAAGAAAAATACAACCTGGTAGAATTTTTAGATTTAAGAGACGCTAGGTGCTCGGTCAACAGAGAAGTCCAGAGCGACTTTATAGGGAGCAAAGCGCTCAGTAACGACAACCCAAAGTTTAGTCGCGGAGGACGCTATGCAAGAGGAGGAATCCAAGATCTCGAGAATGTGCATAGACACATCTTATAGGTTGAAGTTGTGACTCTAAAAGTCTATCTTACTCTTCAGGCTTCAAGATACGAATCATATGCCATGGTTGACAAGCGGAGGATCTCGGGCCAATCCGTAGTGGGGTGTGAATCGTAATCCCAATGTTCAGCCAAAGGTGATCGGACTAAATCGAGCTAAGGGACAATGTAAAATATTCCTGAAAAGCCAAAAGGATTTATTCAACTTATATAAGGCCCCATATGCCCATACAGGCTAGCTGGCCACTCAGAACTTAGATGTCTATAGTGTCTTACAGTATAAGAAACTTGAATGTATTAAGAAGTTGATGACAGATATCAAGAATCTCGCCTCCTACAAGTTCGCTGACCGATTATACAACCCCATCGAAATTTTCAATATTATCCTAAAATTTTATAAAGTCTACCAGAGCGACTCAGTGGTGGTTTAGTTTTATTCACCCACACTCTTTTGACGGAATGTCTGTTTCTTGACAGGATCATACTGGTTGGCGCATGGAGCGCCTGCAGCATCTCCCTGAGACCTGGCCGTATACTTCTTACGTTCTCCAGGGACTCATTTTTCACTATTCTAGGTGAACTGAAATGCTGTCATATCGGTACATTACAAAGGCTCAGATATTGTCTCGCGTCTCGACTCTGATCAAGTCTAAGGAATTCAGAAGGTATGACTGCTTCGAATTTTGATTAACCCAAGGGGCTTAATCAATATTGATCTTATACTTAATCCTTACTGAACTCCCTACCACCCCAATTCTATGCTCTATATGTAGATAGGAGAATTGCCGGGGAAATATAATACCCCTTCAGTACACATTTCGTATCTCTCCTCTGTACTTAACCTCTACTTGTCCTCTTTGGTCTATTCAGTGGGTTATATTTTTATTGTTGCTCTTGTTAGTATTGCCTCATTATTTATATTACACCGTTGATATTCAGGTTTTCTTCGTCAACCCTTGAGCTGGATACAATGCGCGGTACATTGACTTCGCGCATAGTACTTGCCTGTATTTCTAACCCCACCTATACCTAGATCCGACGAATACTCCCCTGAATACTCAAGTAAGCACCTTACCCCCGACTCTAACAAATATCAGGGTTAATATACCCCCTCAAAATCCTTCCTGCCGTCAGCCAGACGGTGATATAACAAAGATGAGTGTAGATGATTCTATTAGAGCCAAGCTGGAGCATACCCCCCAATTCCCTTCTAGATATTGAACTACTGCACTGGTAGGATTCTGAGACAAGTCCCGCTGCCTCGATATATTCTGAAAACTGTAGCCGAGTTGACTCGTAACTCCTACACCAGTGTAGGCATTCTGCCATCCCACCAGACGTACTCCGATAGTTAAACAAATTAATGTTGACCGCTCTACCAGACCAAGATGTTCTCGTCCTCTTCTGGAGAATTTATTTTAAAGGTTTTACTGACCTCTCATCACTATCGGTTATAGGAAAGACTTGCTTTTAGTGATGATTCATTTACCAGGCCGTTAAATGCTAACACACGGCAATGTTTGAGAGACTGGTGGATTTCGTGCTCCGTCCAGGGATCCATGGTGATATCGATTAAAGCTGCATTTCTTACGCCTTTCACAGAATACTAATATAGATACACCACCAGTAGTTCAAAGGTATCCCTAGCTTGACCTGTGACACCAATGACGAGTAGCATTTCACTCAGACCGCTTGGCGGTCTAAGGCAGTCAAGAAAAGCTCTATGAGCTGTTTCCCAGATGAAACTTAGCAGTGGGGTTTGGAAAGCTGGAAAAGCTGGCGAGGGAAGAGGTGACTCAAAGGGAACACGTACCTTGCCTGTATATTTAGTTTCACTTCCAAGCTTTTCAAATTCGGCTTGCCATTTATCCAGGCTATCCGTGGAGCAGTGCACGATATCATTGATTGATTTATCACTCCCCAAATGACTGAGGAACTCACGTCCTTTCTTGCTGTTTCCCACTCTAGAAAAGAGGAACATTGCTGCTCTTTCACCGTAGGATTGCAGATCAGGCGATCCTTTGCATTTCTGAATTGTCGATTTAATTGTTTCACCGTCCTTACGTGAGGAGGGATTCAAATGTTAGTTAACATGTAATTTAAAAAAGGAAATCTCCAACATAGGGCCCAAACGCCTACCTCTCCGTCTGAGATAATAACGGTGATCACTGGCCGTTTCAGGTTGCCTGCTTTGGCCTTTCTAATGATCATAGGATGTACGATCTTTTTGTTGACAACCTCACCTAATCCCGAACGGCCTATGAGCCTTTGTAAGTTGAGGAATCTGACTGTTTGAAACATGTCTTCAACTTGATTGCTGGTAGTTATGTTCTCGAAATGGTCCCTCCCGCCTGCGTTCGGATAGAGGAGCTGGATTGTTATTCCCTTTGGTACGAGAAGCGAGGAAATTGTAACAAGACGTAGGAGTATATCCTTTAGGGCACGCCGGTGCTTGAACATAGACAAACTATTATCTAGGACAAACCTTAGTATCGCAGGAAGAATGTTGGTTAGGTTGAACTTTCAAGACTCACCGCAAACAATGACCAGATCGAATAATGCAAGTTCAACCACTTCAAGTTCCCGGCTAGCAGGTACATCATACTTCTGTGTGATATGATGCATCTCAGTAGCTGCCTTTTGCACAAGCTCCTTTATGAACTGATCATTAGGAGAGAAAAAGCTGGAATAGTTGTTGGTCACAAAGGTTTGGTACTGAACAGCTGTCTCCGCTATCTTGTTAATCTGGTCAGAGCAGAGTATCCGATAAGACGTAGTACACGTCGCCCTACCTGGCAATGTTGTAGATGAATATATTGAGAGGTGTTGGTGTTCGTTGTGATATTTCCACAGTTCCGATTTGTTATGTTGCCGCAATTCTCATGCACAGTATTTCCACAGTTCTGATTTGTTGCGTTGCCCCAGTTTTGGTTGGGTGGGCTCTTGTCTGTCGATAAATCTTCAAGCTGTTCCAGATGAGGCCTGTGACTTCTGCAGCGTTTCTGTGAGGCCTTCACACGCCGCCTGCATCGGCCACCATGTCTTGATATTCCTTTGCAACGTCGGCTGGAAGAGCTTCGAGATTTCTTCACATGGGAACTCATCGTAGGGATTGATAGGATACAGTGACAACGACAATGCGCGTGTCAGATGGCTTTAGAACAAGTTCCACTTCCTCGTAGAATGAATGAACATATGATATTAATATGCAAAGGGGGATCGAAATTTGAAATGGACGCTTCCTACAATCAACTGAGCCTGAACAGTAATGCACCAGTAAGATATTATCCCGAAGTAGAGACACAGCTGCAAGTATGCTTCACTGAATGACTGGTGGCGGCAACGGCGGATACCAGGTTACATTGCATTTAATCTATTAGCCGCAAGCCACCAAAGCCACTCTGTGATCTGGCATTAAATAGATTCCATTCCGAAAAAGGACTGTACGATGCCGATCTTTATTTACTGATACACTCATACAGATAGGCGGTGCCCAGTTTTGTGGCCTTGAAATTCAACCTAGAGTCTTGTGCTACGAATCCTACAAATGTAGTACTGAGAATAGAAACAAGCCAATAGTTATTGAATGATCTTCTTCCTCCCGAAATAGTCCCGGCACTATTCCGTACCGATGTATTGTTGAAATATGACGATACCAAAGTCGCAAGGCTGAAGCTTCCACACTTGTCAATTACTCAGCCCTCATTCCCCCTCTGATCTGCAACACGCAGCTTAGCCCACCATCATCCTAACCATGGAAGGTGAGCATACTCAAATGATCATCAGAAAGCTAATATCCAGTTACATTCAAAGGTCGATCGTGCCGCCTTTGCCACTTTTCACGTTGCCCCATCTCTGGCCATGGAAAAGGCCGCTGGTGTGTGCACCGTGGTCGTATTGACGCGCCTCACCTCCATTGACTGAAATATCACCGGTTTCGGCGGTGGTGTACGCTCTGCTGATTGAAATCTTGCCTCCATCTCCACTTTCAGTGTTGGATTGCACCGCGCTCCTGGAGTTGAAAACACCCTTCGATGATGCCTGGCTTCCAAAGGCATTTGCACCATTGGCTGAAAGGTTGCCGAATTTGCGGTACGTGGGCTGAGACATGGCCTTCAGATAATAAAAGACGAATTTGAAAGTTTAAGATAGAAAATGCGTCCTGATGATTGGGAACGGATCTCGCTTGAGTGGATGGATTTAGTTCGGCTGTTGTGGTGAAGAGAATTGGGTTGATGGAGATCGGCCCTTCTATATATTCCTTCTTTGCCTAGCGATGGACGACGCCCAACGTAGGGCTGTGTCCAGTGACGTGGGACGAGGAGAGTCGATGGCAGTGCTTCATGGTCAGACAATCCTTGGCTGGAGGGATACCTTCCGGAAAACACGGCAAGAGAGTTATTGGCAAATGCAATTTGGGAACAAGGCCCGCAATTGTAAGAGAGGAAACTCTAAGCAAGATCATGACTCGTAAACGACCGGCTGCCAAACGCAGAACCCGAGATTGCGAGAAATCCAAGGTATGCCCTTAAGGTGGGACGGGCATCTTTGTCCGCCTCAGAATATGATTATTGCTGCTGTTAAAAAAGGGCTTTCCATAGAAAGAGCCGTTGGACCTCCTCCTGTATCTCGCACCATTAGATAGCCTCACTAGGATGAGTGTGGATGTGGCAGGGATAGGTTGTTCCAATCATCTGGGCTCCACGAAGCGTTTTAATAAAATCGTTTAATCGATCACCCAAGACATAGCGTTGTACAGCTGGGGCCATTCACAAGGCTGGACAAATGACGGATAATGCCCAGCCCTTCTTGTTCTTTCTCAAAGCAATAATACTTTGAAAATGTCTTACGGCAAACAGCAATTCCTTCCTGATCTAGGAGGTCTATCATCCATACACCGACCACCGTTCGTCATCTAATACAAGATGGCTTCCTGGGAGGTGTAATTCCTCAGCGGTTATATTTAGATCCCTGAATATTTCTAATCCGACCATCGATTGTCTATGTAGAATCGTGGTAACTAAAATGTTGATGTACAGGTCGCAAAGACCCCCATAAAATAGCACGATCAGCATATCCAGCAGTCTTCTTAAGGAAGCACTTAGATCTCACCAACATTGGATGGATACTGGTACCCTCCGATTTGCTTCGGGTCATGGCGCGAAAAGTAGAGCAGATGGCGAGGCGCAGAAAAAGCAAAACATTGAGCCAATGGCAAGATTGACTTATCGATGTCCAGTTGGCCGAGCAAAATAAACCTAAGCCATGGTGGAAAAGAAAGTAGGCTCGCGCGGAGCAACAGGAGTACACAACTACCAAGCTGCAAGCACACCATCCCATCAATTAAGACGTGATCATCGGTGGGTATCAATCGCGATGCTATGGAAACGTAACCCTAAATCGTGAAAAGGCAAGTTAACAAGGTAAATGATCCTTCCTCTGTACGCTGTTAGGGTCATATGTGGTGTAACCCTGAAATGGAGATATACAAGCTGTTAGCCCTTGCAGTTAGCCATCAAGAACGGTCGAGTCCAAATCATGGACGATGTTGTATATAGGCTTACTGGCGGCTGATAAGACAATATAGTACTAAAGAAGACTAAAAACAGGTTGGGCTACTAACAAACGAGTACCAAGTAGCTCGGCTTGGGATACAGAAAGCCACAGCGGCTTTCACTGTTCTCCGGTTCCGTCTGATCATGTTGGTAGTTCCCGGTGACATCTGAAGTGAGCGACAGACATTTGCCAAACAGAAAGCTCTAACCCCCGATAGAGATACTTCCACCAGAACCACCCGAGGCACTCTTCGATGTGGCCGAGGAATGACCTGAGGCCTTGTTGTAATTGACATTCCCCCCTGTAGTAGCACTCCCTCCGTTACTCGAGATGTTACCGGTCCGGGTGATCTTGTTCCCACTATTGTTGTAGGTATTGGTGTTGCCACAGTTCTCCGAGGACGTGTTGCCACAGTTAGTCAACGTGGTATTGCCGCTATTGTTGTTCCAGTAATATTGGTTGTTTCTTCCGCCGTGGGAGAAAGAGCCTTTCCAGGCCCATGGGCTCGGAGTGGAATTGGGACTTGAATTCCACCTATCGTGGCCCGCATTGTTCCGGAAAGGGTTTCCCTGCCAGGTCCCATTTGGGTGATTACTGGACATTTTGAAAACTGGATGAGTGTATGTAGGAACGGATAGGTGAGGAGTGGGGCAGAAAGGAAATACAACGTTTGAGGTAGACGTCTAGCAAAAGCTTCCATTCCTACCAATCACCCTCCCTTTATACCACCCACTATTGCAAACACGTCAGTCCAAAGATCCTCTGGGAGTGTCTATGATGCAATAGCTTTTCTAGTCTGTTTCAAAGGACACACACTGGAAATTACTGCCCAGACGCGCTGGTGTGAGGCTTTCAGTTCATGTGGCAGTTAACCTGTATCTAGGCTTCTTCACGGCCCAAGCCCACGGTGGGTTGGGCTTTGGGCCTAGTATAGGGGTTCATAATGGGCCCGTGGGCCCCCAATTGGGCCCCAAACAGTGCAAACCTAGGACCTTATGTAAGAAAACATCGATTTATTTAACTTAGTAAGCACCTTTATGACTGCCAAGACCGGTATTTATACAAAAATGGGCTTTGGGGGGAGCCCACTGGGGACATCGTGGGCCTAGGGGTTGGGCTTTGGGCCTGGGGTTTGGGCCCATTCATGGGCCCTGAAGAAGACTACCTGTAACTGATGCCTAACAGAGACCTATCATTCCTTTAGCAATGAGTCACCTAGTCTATTATCAACCACGCAGTATACGTCATTCCACATTTATAGATAGTATTTCATCCATCCACTGTTTAGCCTCTATATTCCTGGTGATATCATTCCACTCTGCTATTTTCTTGTTTCATTCGTCTATGTGATTGACATATTGATATATTGAGCCGCAATGTTTTCCATATACATAGCCATCCAGCTAGGTACTCCCATTTCGTTGTCTGGTGGGCTGCTGATATAGTAACATGACTGTTGTGTGGCTGTCATACAACTGTTATTAAGTTTAAGAATATTTTTTTTAACGTTATACACACCATACCATTATTATGTACTAAATATTATTAAAAAATAAATAATTTTTAACCTTGCAGAATTTTGTACAATAAGTATCAACTGCTGCTTACTGACTATTATCCAGTTTTTAAAACAATCTCTTGACAAAGCGAACAAGACAATTCTCCTACTTGATAGTGATGCAAAGAAATCAGCCACCACTTATTCGCTCCTGTGTACCTTGCTCGACTCTGGGGATAGCATTGAGGTGCTTTGTGTCGATCAGGCTTTGTTGGCCAATGGAAATCAGTAGCGAACCCAAAGATCACGATAGACCACAGTTAGCAGTTTATACACCTCTTTTAGTTGATTGTGAGCTAAAAAAGAAAAGGCCCGAATCTCGACTGCTCGCACGAAATAGGAGGACTGATTTCTATTATTTTTGCTTGTTCTCCTATCCTATTTCCCTGACTCGCTGTATCTACCTCTCCATCTCCCCCGGTATCTATATATCGTCCCATCTATGCCGCCTCTGTGGATTTACATCGCTGTTTTTCTCTTGTCTATCTTTGGAATTGCTATCATTATTTCTATGCTGTATTCTGTGATCAGGGACTTATTCTCAACCTCTTATATATCTCGCTAACCCTGGAACTGGATATGATAAAACGGCGAGCTGATCAATATATAGATTGAACCTTGCTAATTCAGTTATGACTCCAGTTTAGTCACTTTATAATACCCTCGCTCCTAATCTGTCCACTTCACTGGTGAACCATGGCTTCAACCAAGGAACGGCTTTTATTGTCGCGTATGCCTACGGCTAGTTTGACCAGGGCCGCCTCATGAAACGCTTATTGGATGCAAAGCCACAGGCTGCAGACGCAGACCACGTCACGGGTCACTTGGACAACACCCAATCATTCTTTGGCCCGGAAGGCTTCAAATCTTCCTGCACAAAATTGAGGATGGTCTCACTTCCCAAGTAGTGCTCAGATCCTACGAGTTGCCGTCCGGAGGCCGGTGAGTCGTTGATACCATCCTTGTATTCAGAAGTCCAATAGCCTGAACTCCGATAGAGCTCTCTAAAATAGCAGACCGATCGTCTCCCAGCGAAAGCACAGTGAAAGAGACGGTATATGGCGTCAAAGCAGATGCCCCGACTCTTCAGCAGCTAAGCTCATCGGGCTAACCTGCGCAAGATAAGAGACCAGAAAATTATAGACAGAAAGCCATGGGAGCTTTGGATTCGGCCATTAGGGAACATTTCCAAGGTGGAAACCAGGAAAGTTCTGAGAAGAAGCAGCGCTTGTAAATGAGGCAGTTTCAGTCTGAGGTGTCTTCGAAAGCTTTTTCAAGATCTTTGTCATATTGTTCTCTGTCCGCAAGTTTACGACCAGCAATATGCCCAACATTCTTTTCAAAGAAAAAAGGCATCACAACCCCGAACTCCTCCTCATAGTCTTTGCAAATGAGATGTTTAATATACTTGCTAAATATCGTAAAAAGTCTTGACAACTTCTAAATGGGCCTTGAAACCTCTGAGTGCCTTGCTTATGGGCTAGTCATTGCGGGTGCCCGGATGGCGATCGCTACCTCAAATGTCTCAAGATCTTCACACGCGTAGTTGATGGGAAAGAGATAAGGATGACAGAAACTAGGCGGAGAGAACTCGCTGAGTTGGTCAAATGGTCCAGAGACACAAGCGCTATGTGGCTCCATATACTCTCTTCTAGTGGGTTTTTTGCGGATCTGACCTTTCGTTGTATGCATCTGCGAAATCACAAGGGCGTGCAGTGATAGAATTTGCATATGGAGGACCATGGGGATACAGAGGTCGAAAAGTCTGTCGCGGATAAGATGGAGGACCTGGCAGCGTATAATGAGATCAAAGATAAGGTCGAGCCCTACAATCTCATGCATATGGAGGAATGGTACCTATTGACAGGCCTTTCATCCATGTTGATTACTAACATCATCGAGAACCGTTTCCTCTGGAGCCCGGCATCACGCAATATCCCCTGGTTTCGTTCAAGCAGTGAAATCGACATATCAATTATATAACAAATAGCTTGTCTCATAACACACGCGATAGCTAGTTCCCGCAAAGACAAACGAAAGTTGAACAGTGGGACAAATAGCTTGGAAATTTGCAGCTCCCCAATATCATGGGAGTCAGGTAATTTATAGATACTGAGAAATGATATTTATCTATTTACTTTTCCTCGCTATACCGGAGGTTACTTGCTGACGATCTGCGGCCTGCCAATCCATGGAAACCTTACCATGTGACCAAAATCGTATATCACGACGCCACTCCAGGCAACAACTATCTGACCTTTCTTAAACATCTAAACCACCTTCGACGATCATATTGCATCGTGCACTGGTACGCCTTAATCAATCATGAAAATAGTAATAATCGGCGGCGGCATCTCCGGATGTACCGCATACCTCCAACTTAAAAAGCATCTCCCCAAACCACCCGCCCCAGATCAGGACCATGAAATCACTATCTACGAAGCTTACGACACCAACAAGGACACCACTTGCGACGAGCGTGATGGTCCAACCCACTCCTCGACACTTATCGTGGGCGGTGGCTTAGGTATTGGGCCTAACGGCCTCAACGTTCTAAAACGTCTGGACGAGGATCTTCTCCATGACATCGTCCGTGGCGGATATGTAGTTCCGACGGGCAACATGAAAAACAAAAACGGACGTTTGCTCGTACGCATGGACGCATCGGATGAGCCAACTTCGCCGACTGAATTACCCATTCATACGGTCGGGTGTAGCCGACATTGGTTCTGGCGGTGTCTCCGCATGCGCATTCCGGATCGCGATATTGTGACGAAACGGGTCGCAGAAGTTGTTGCGAGCCCGGAGGGCCGGAATGTAGTCCGCTTTGCTGATGGTAGTTCGCCAGTGGAGGCGGATTTGGTTATCGGTGCGGATGGGTTGAAAGGGATTGTTAAACGGGCGCTGTTCCCTGAGGCAGGGGAGGATCCCTTTCCCCCTCATTATGAGTATGTACCTCCCGCTGGGTGCACCGGGGCAGCAACGGCTTCGCTAACTCGATATAAACAGAGGCTTGTCAGGAGTCGGCGGGTTTATTGCAGCCGACAAAGTTAAAGATGACGTCGAGAAAGGCTCAATGAACTTCATCACCGGGGGCAATGGCTTCTTCGGCTACTTCTACACCGACAGTGCCCGATCGGCACCTCACAGGGACTCACCATATCATGTCTCCGAACCGGGCGAGAGTCTCGGCTGGTGGTCAACGTACCAAGTCGATGAGTGTCCGAACCCGAAAACGATTGACAAGGAGGATGTCGCACGTCAACTGCGAGAACGCTACTCGAGCTGGAACGATCCAGTTATTCGGAAGGTCCTCGGCTCACTGGAGGTCAGCAATATGTATCCTACCTGGACGATGCCGCCTCTGCCGACCTGGGAGCGGAATGGCGTCGTTCTAGTCGGTGATGCAGCTCATGCATTGCCTCCTACTTCGGGACAAGGCTCGTCGCAGGCGCTTGAGGATGTTGAGGCGTTTGTTCTGTTTTTGAGTCACTATTTACATAAGGAATATGAGACCCATGGGCCTGATATTGATGTAAAAGGAGTGATCTCGACCGCAGCCAAGCCCTATATGGAGCTCCGCATCCCTCGTGTCCAGGCTATTCTTGAAGATGCCAAGCGGAGACAAAATATCAAGCGTGATATGAGCGTTATCGAGGAATATATAATGTACAGCTTTCTATGGATCCTTGGTGAGTATTATATCTTTCTAGTTTAGCTCTAGCCTGCGTGCCATTTGTTGGAACTACTACTGACAGATTAAGGCTGGTTTCCACGATTCTTTAGCAAGGAGATGAAGGCTGTCTTCAATTATAATATCGCGGATGAGGTACAGAAGGTGCTGGAAGGTAAAACATAATATACACAACATGTATACGCAGCTCTCCACTCTCCACTCCAAGAACGATATGATTATGTATCGTCTCAACATGTACATTGATACAAAACAATACCCAGCTCCAAACCCAAACTTGGCTCTTGTAACCTTCATCAATAAATCCAAACACTCACTTACATCCCTCTCCATCCTGTCGTTCATTTTACTCTGCCTATTCTCACAATACGGACATCAGTTCTCACGACTAGGCGGGAAATACTCCCCGCATGTGCCACATCTCTGATAGTGGCCGTTCTTAAGGCAAGACTTGCCCAATACCTTTCTACATATTGTGCTGGTGGCTATGTGTTAGCTTGACTTGCTCCGTGCGATACTTGTTGGTAGGTGACAGACCAGTGGCGTCCCATTTTTGGATCTTTTCTTTTTGTCATGGATTGGTTTCTGCTGTGGTTGTTCTGGGGTGGTTGTTCTGGCGGATGAGCTGTGACATACCTTTTCGACCTATAGCCAGGTATGACGCAGAATATGTAGATAATATATAGGGTATAGCAGTATTCTGAATTGGTTCTCGTGTGCGAATCTGTTTGTGCTATAGATGCTGTTGTGTCTTTGGAACGAATGATCTAAGAGCATACGTTCATGGTCCATGCTTATGGACAAAGGATTTATTGTTGTCAGCGTGAAAGGACAATGAAGACTTTGTTAGTCATTGTTTATATGCTTGTATTTAAAGCTAGGTCTATAATTGTGGTTTATTGTGGGAGCATGGTGAGAGGGGCTGTCTTCTTGTCGTATAGGAAATCTAAGCTTGACCCAGTTGTTCCAGGATAAGGATGTTGGTGAGAGACATGACATGGCCAGACTAAGTCAGATGCAAAAGACATGGGTAAATAAAACTGGCACAATATACATGCAATGTTACATGGCTATCAGGACCAGCTATATTGGTGAATGAGAAGTGTTAGTACATCACATAAAGCCCGGTAAGTTTGATGTCTATGCCAAATTCACGGTGTATACACACTAATATCTGGTTACAAAGCTCACAGAGTAACAGCTCTATAATGCCAAGCCTCATGAGCTATTACGGGTATGTCAGGCCTACACCAGAGTTATTTCCGACTCGAATTCTCGACTCTACAGCTCGTCATGGGACATATGACCTCTCACTACCTGACTCCCAAGAATGACCTGTCCAAGCCAAGACAGCATCGCGGGATACCCCATCACGACCTCGAAGGATTTGACCATCGCATCCCACAACTAACAGACACGAAGAGCACACATCATACCCAAGAACCACCATAGGGAATAGGGCCACCCCCCGGATAACGCCACACCGCAGCACCCGAAACACATCCAATATGCGAACAAGGCCCAGCCCACAATCAACGCCCATCCAGCCACCGGTTGGCCTTATTCTAACTTCACAACCCATCTAAATATATCTCTGGCTATGATTCGCCAGGATGACGGATCTGGGATGTCATGACCCGAGTCCCCAGACCCGGAGGATGTCCAATCAGACAACGCCTGGATTCTGTATGTCCTTGTGAAGCCAGACCATGCGCCAATAAATTGGCTTCCGAGCATTGCAATGCCATGTGGAAACCGCGGGAGTGGGTGGAATGTTATCTGGCTGTCTCGGATATAGGATCCGCTGGACGTCACCTTGTCGCTGGCGACCGTTGCGGCGAGAGGTAAATACGAGGATCTCTCTTGGCGAAAGTTAATGGGGCGACGAGAGAAACAGCAGCAATGGGAAGCTTGCGTCCATGATCCGAGTACGAGGCCGAATCAGTAGGCATGACATATCATCATTTGATGAATGGCTGTGTTGGTATGGGTGGAGGTTGAGGGGGGGTGTATAAATATGAGGTTCGATCAGTTCAGTTCAGCACATCCAGAAACCAGAACAATCAACAATCAACAGCATTCTACTCAGCTACATAGTCAATCACACAGTCCAATCCATACCACATCAATCAAAATGAATCTCCTACTCCTAACCTTCACCCTCCTCACCACCCTGACCACAGCAACCCCGACCCCCCGGCAGGACTCCCTCCTCTGGCCCTACGCAACCTACCGCTACTGGGTGCAAACGGGTAACTGGGTGCTCGACCCGCAGGACCAACTCCTGGTCGTCAAGAACGGCAACGCAGCAGACGAAACGACCAGCATCGTCACCTTCGACATCCCCGCCACTGCTGACGGCCACAAATGCAAGCTCCTGTTCGACCTCTGGGACCGCGACGTCTCCACCGGCTCACAACAGGCCGACGTGTTCACCGCCACGAAGCCCACCGGCGCCAGTGCCAGTGCGTCTGACTCGGGCGCCTCGCTGCAGTCTGTGTCGAAGCAGGTGGCCGAGGTTATCGTCCAGTCTAGGGACGAGCATGTCGGTCGGATTCATGTTCCCAAACCGGGCACTGCGGACTGGGTGTTGGCTTACCAGGGGTATCCTGAGTTTGATTGTCCCGCTGGGCAGATGATTGGGTTTGAGTTTGTGGGGGTTAATGATCGGGTTGAGATTAGGTGGGATATTGGGGTTACGGGGCCGAGGGTGCAGGTTTTGTAGGTTGGGTATACAGTAGCGTTCGGTCTGGGGGTTGGATTGGGGGTTGGTGGGTTAGAAGGGGGCTATATGGGGAGAAGCATGCCGAGGTTGTTATTACTTGATGTTATTTGCATAGGAATGATTTGATTCGTTGTGTTTATATCACTGTGTATGGACTTTTCAGGGAGTATGTTGACTTCGAATTGTATAGAGATCACCGAAATCAGGCGAAGGGATAAGATGAAAAAGAAAGGAAATTAGGGGATCTGTTAGAGAAATATAGGAGATGCCATTGCTAAGGTAGAGCTGAACGAGTCTCAGCATATTACTGTAAATTAACTAATAAGCAGCATTCGGGTATATCTATGTACAGTACTTCCAAAAACACTCCACTTCACTCCGCAGCGAATATCTTTAGTCCTGAGCTCATTTTGAACTCCTTTGTTTCCTCTGCGACAGTCAATGAGACCACCAGTTCCAATTCATTCCTGTGCAGAATGTTATACGTGACAAAGTCAGGGGACGGGCCCGTGTAGGTAGTGTTCCGCAGACCCCCAACGGTCGAACCGTTAGAATGAAAGAGAAGCCCAAACATACTGCCGATGTCAACCGGCTCGTTCCCTTTTCCGGTAGTAAAGACGATAGGGTTCTCAAGCCTCAGAAAGGCCTGCTTCAAGCCAATGGGATGAGACGAGGAATGAGTGTGGTTGTGAGTATATGTCGGGGTGAGGTTTCCTGGTGCTCGCACCATAGTCTCAGACTTTATGACCATGTTGACCCAGTTTAACTGAACTTTTTGTCTGACATCGCTGATCTCGGGACTTGCGCTGGAAGGCTTGACGCCAATGATAATCGGGACAGGTGCTGGGTGATCAAGCTGAATGGCGTAAGGCCAACTGACCTCAACCGTATAGTGAAACTCCGGCACCTTGGATGAACCGAAGAGCTTTTGCGTCTTTTGCTTCAGCGATAGCTCCGCATGCTCCATTCCTGGCAGTAGCCGTTGACTCTTGGCCCTTCCGGCGAGCACGCGCGACTGAAGGTCATAGTTGAAGATACCGGCTTGCGGGGCATGTCGAATCGTGATAGGAAAAGTCGCTATTTCAGTCTCAAACGACCCGGAGCGACCATATATCAGCTGAGCCTCGAGGTAGTATTCCACGAAGGCCTCAGAGGAGGTACGCCAGCCGCGACCACTGGAGAAAAAGCTTGCGGGCAATGTGCTGCGGACAAGGGTCTCTTTATCCAACGGCAGGTAACTCTCTTCCGGACAGTGGCCCTGCAGCACCTGATATGATGGTCGTGTGGGGATCTCAACTGAGAATGGCCATGTAAGCGGGTTGTTCACACTGCCCTGGGGAAGATGTAAGGGTCCGTGGAAGAGAGTCTCGCGCGATGTGTGAAATAGTTGCCAGCGACCGCGGTAATGGCTGGTGCTGGTCGTTTGCCCGTTGTTCCTCTTCACCGTGATCTTTGTTTTCACGCGTCCGACCAGTGTAAGAGTCACCATTGCATCGGGGGTGACGATATGTGAGCGGCGGACTACATTGCCGATGACAGTATCCCCACCAATGTATGTCCAGCCCGGGGGTGAGGCGAGGTCGATATTGATGTTCTCGTTGCCGGTCTTCGCAGTTTGCGGCATGGTGTGTTCTTGTTTACATGTAATTGAAGTCTAGAGGGTGCACTGGGAATTCTGAACAATATAAAGCAACTACTTTCGTAAATCTTAGCGAAGCCGACGTCATCTGACGGGATATACAAAGTGGCTGAGTTTGAGGCCGGGCAATTAAGGCAGACTTTCATTCCTGGTCAGCCTATACCCCATCTGGTATAGGCCGTGAAGATCATTGGATCACTCGTGTAAGCTTGAGTGGCTTAGAATATATCGATCAGTAATTATTCTTTCCACGATGTGAATCTGTGTAGAGATATTCCCTCGCCAGTTATGCAATCGATCTGTTGTTCTGCGAGGCTAGTGAACCAGTCGGAAAGCTTTGTCAATCTAGGAAGTATTGTTCTACACTCCTCTTCACGACTTAGATCAGGCCTACTCGCTCAATATAAATATCTGGTCTTGATAGAGAGGCTTCAACGGACAGATTCCAGTCTATCAATCGTGATGCAATCGAGACTTGGGGAGCATCAGCCAGGAAACACCAGTAGCGCCGAGCAGCCCGACTAGCATAGGCTGCAGCACTGATACACCGACCTTCGCTGCCATGACACCAGTAACGGCTGGGAAGACAGCCCCTCCGACCTGGCCGAGGACGAAGATGAACGCTACCGCTGATTATTAGCTTGCCTCTACGCCTATAGGCATCAGGGCGACATACCAAGTGCCGATGAGCGAATGTCCGCTGTGAATATCTTCGATGCGACCGAGATACCCTGAGACGTTAATGAGTCAACTAGCAACTCACGCGGTGACAACTTACTGTTGCAAAGAAAGGGCCTGAGAAGAACCCAAGAAGACTGATGGCTACTGCTTCGGCAATGATATTTGGTACACTAGTCGCATTAGTGCTTCGTCGCGCAACGGCTTCAACCGAACTCACAGCCAGAAAACCAACTCTAATCCCACACAGAGCAACACATAAATGAACACCATGCGTCGCTCCCCCAGGCGATAGGTCGGCTCAGCCAATATCAGTCGGCCTAAGAAACCGCCACCGTAAAAGCCGGCAGGGACATATCCCATGTCCTTCAGGTCGCCATCGCGCACATGGACCAGGTATTCCACAATCCAGCCTACACTATAAGTACCTGTACTCCCATGAAAAGGTGGATAACTTACCTCCAGCTGTGATAACGGCACCGAGGAAAAAGAAGAAATACAAACTCAGAATCCACACGCCTGGCTGCGCCAGAGTCTTCTTTATCTCTTGCATGGGGCTCTTTTGTCTTGCGTCCTGAGAGCTCATCTCACCCTGCGTAGGACACTTAAAGGTCAAGGACTCCTGGAACGCGATAACCACAAGGACAAAGTTGATGACGCCTAATCCTAGCGGCGCCGTGTAGAACAGTTCCCAGCGCGACTGTGCTCCTGCCGATGCTACTGCTGTGGCGATGAAGGGTCCGGTGAGACACCCCGCCATATACATCGCATGGATAAACCCGAGCCATCGATGCGCTGCTTTCACGGATGCCACGAACGTGTTCGCGTACGTGTCCTGGTACGCCTGGCCAAGACTCGCAATGAAAAACGTCACCGCAAACAGAGGCAACGGAGGTAACCAGGCTCTCAGGGCATGGGCCAGGACTTGTAGCGTTGCACCCATGACCAAAAACACGCCAAGGTCCAGATACTGGCTCAGATGACTATTGGAGAGAGCGGCGACAAGCCAACCGCAAAAGGTCGTGCCATACCTGCATTCTGACATCAGTGTCATACTTGAAGATATGGCGGGTGAACTAACACTATAGACACCATATTTGTGTCTATGTCGTAGGCTTCTCGAATATACGGAATCAGCGCTCCCAAGCTCCCATCATTGACGCCCGCCACATAAAACGCAAAACCAGCACTGATGAGTTTCAGGAGTAGTCTTGGGGTCTGTGGTTCTGGCTCCGGAGAGTCTACTTGGACGGACTCCATGGCGAGCAATGCGAAAGCTAATATTCGTATCCAGCAGTGAACAGGATCCCTCACGAAGCTATATAATTTTGAACAGCACAGCGGTGCAGCGGAAAGTCGGACCGAACTTGACGTCGGGACGTAGTTGATTAAATTACCCAAAACGGTAAAATTAGCAGCAAACAACATCCACCACCGCCCTAATTACTCATTACAATCTATCAAATCACATCCCCGAATGTGCCTCTAAGAGTACAGAAATCACGCTCATTGTGGCCAATAGTATTGGCCCTTGTCCAGCGCCGTCTGCAATTTCGGATCCACATGGACAAACCCCGCGTCACCCAATTGGGGGAAATCCTGGATGATCAAGCCGGCGACCATTCCCCCGAAGACCTGACTCCCAGCCGCGTTCAAGTGCGTCGAGTCACCCGCTTTCAAATCATACATGTGCGCACTGACCGGCCCAATACTATTCAGGTACAGCGTGCTGGCGCGGTTCAAGTCAATATACGACGCTCCCGTCTTCTTCGCGGCCTTGATGGTCGTGACCCGCTCATTTTCCAGACTCCGGATAATTGTGGGCACCCCGGTGGAATTATCATACTGGCGCCGAGCAAGTGGAGTCACTAGGATGGGCACGCCCCCCGCATTCCGCACCTCTCCGACGAAAGTCTCCAGGTTGGTCGTGTACTCTGCGATGGTGATGTTGGCTTTCGGCTTCTGATCGTTGTGGCCGAATTGGAGGGTCACGTAGGGCTGATAATTGGCTTTCACCTCCTCAAGCTTCTTGAGGAGGGTGTCCCAGTCCCCTCGCGTGCGGAAGCTGACGGTTGTGGCTCCGTTGCGGCCGTAGTTCTGGCCTTTGGCGCCCTTGGCCAAAGTCGTCTGGATGAATCCATTGCCCCAACCCCCTCCGTTCGTCGTTTGCACCGCGGTGGTGCTGTCGCCAGCCAGGAGAAAGAACGGCGGTTTGTCCGCCGCGGACCGTGGCACACTCAGCGCGTGGAGGGTGAGGAAGAAGAAGAACAGGAGATACAGCTTCATGGTGGTGGGCTGCAGGTTCCAGAACGTGGACTTCCCCTATTACGGTGAAGCGATCGCTAGTATTTATCTACATTCGGGGTAAATTCTTCTATCTCGGCATTCCAGCAGTCGAAGACTTCTAGCATGTGAGAAGCTATGTAATCCTACAGGGGTACATTACGGACCAGAGCAGGAAATGAGCCAGTGCGGGGACATGTGTAAATGAAGCATTTCCTAGATAGGGATGGTACTCCGGTCTAGATTCACTCGAGCATATGGCATCATGAGAATTAATTAGGCGTATCCCACTGTGGGCCGTCTAGTGTCTGGGGAAGATCGATCGCGCGGGAGGAATGAAGGATCCCCCACGAGGATACCAGATTGGAACTGGACACTAGATGAGGGCGACATCAGGGGATAGGGGCATGGGAATAATTTGTGAGGGTTACGACCGCTGATAAATGAATGTTCGGAGTGACCGAGGCAGAGGGGACTGGCTTGGGCAACACTTCCTACCCAAGTGGCTAAGGCCCCCTGGTCCCTCGTATTGATACCATTGGTTCGTCCACAGCCAGGAAACAGGGCACCACCGAAAAAGCCCTTAATTATGGAGCCGGCAACTTTAGTGACAACAAACCTCGTATCCCGCGAGAACGTGACAGTGCAGGTTGCATCGCCTCTTTGTTGGTTGTTGGCCAAGACCTCCGATGGTTCAGGTAGTGGGTCTGGGCGCCAGCGAGGCTCAAAGGAATCGTGGTAAACTTTTCCTTAGAACCGTGGTTACAAAGTATACTGATTCAGAGAACCTGGTTCCATGCTTAATCCAGTGTTATCGGTGGAGGCATTTTACATGTTTCTTGCTCAGGGCTTGTACCCTATATCCATCCTCACAAGTCTCGCAGCAAGATTGGTACCGGCGAATATAAATAGCTACACGTATCGATTCGGCCTGGGTGGCGCCCTGTTTCTAGTGCATCTTCATAGATGGTTAGGTTTAGCATTGCCCACTGCACGAATTGCTAAGAAAGGACAACATTGTCGTCCCGGGTGCAACGACCAAATGCACATCCATGCTGAACAACCTCGCGAGAGAACAGCAAATTTACCCCTTCTAGTTTAAGTTCCGCTGTCATCTTTGTTCCCTATGGTTCGTTCGTCTCCGATGGTTGGACCAACTCAGCCTTTGTCCCAAAGTCTTGGGAAATGTAACCAATAGAGGAGAATGGTTCTGCGTCATGGCTGGCATGGCAGCCACCCTGCATCTTCGCAGTAAGCTTCCTCCGTTGGTAAGGCCGCCCACTCTTCAGGGCCTTTCTTCTTCTCATTGCCTCGCTGGCTCCTTCTCCCTCCTCCCGATCGTCTACCATGACACCGTGAGCGCATGAAGCCCTCCCCGTTTCATCCCCAGATGCCAACTATGTCGCTCATTCATCGGATGACATGGCTGTTGATAACTATCGCTTCTTTACGGCTGGGGGTGTCCGCACAGACAACTACAACGGAGGCAAGTGCCACAGCGACTCAAACGTCGTCGAAAGGAGCCGCAACACATACTATCCAGGTTGGACCGCGGAGTGACCCGCATCAGTATGTACCCAGCAGCGTCAACGCATCTGTCGGCGACGTAATTGTCTTCGAATTCTATCCGCGAAACCATTCAGTAGTAAGAGCAGACTACGATGCACCATGTGTGCCTGCCCAGACCAGTGGTCCCGTCTTCTACTCCGGCCATTTCAACAAATTCAACGAAGAGAATGGACAGGTGATAGGACCGGTAGGTTCACATCCGATGGTGATGACCGCGTCGATTACTGACATCTTTAGCCACCCACATGGTCGTTGGTTGTGAATGACACTAAGGTAAGACCTACCCTTGCGACAGATCTTCAATCGCACATGCTAATAGAGCTCCAGCCTACCTTCTTCTACTGTACCGCCATCGGCTCATGCAACGAGAATGGAATGGTCGGGGTGATAAATCCGGTCAGTGATGCTGATACTCAATTGCAATCTCTCGTTGCTGACAGAAGCAGACCGCCAATATGACGTGGGAGCATCAAAACAAGAAAGCGATCAAGTACCCCTACCAGCTTGAACCATGGGAGCACGTTCCTGCCGAAGGCGAGACTCCCAACTCATCAGCGACTTCCAGCCCCTCGCCGTCCTCGTCCGGAAGTCACCTCAGCGGCGGCGCCATAGCCGGGATCGTCGTTGGAGCCGTCGCATTCATCGGACTGCTCGTGGCATTTTTCTTCGTCATGGGCCGGAACCAAGTCTACAAGAAGTGGATGACATCGCAGGATGGGACCACGGAGCGGACCGCTCGCTGGGCTCTATTCAACAGCCACGGGGAACGCAAGAGTGACTTCGATAGCGCGCAGCCTCCTGGCGACCAAGCGACGTATATGCCGAGCCCGGATCTCGCCAATCGCACGTACATGTCCGGTCAAGGACAATATGGCTGGGATCCGTCGATGTACCAGTCTATGCCGCAGTCACCGCCGCCAAGAAATGTAGCACCCACCGAGCTGGAGGCACCCGATTCCGCAGTTCACTATCGGACCGATGGAAGGTGACCGGCTAGTGTCTCGGTATGATAATGCCACGGGAGTTAGGATAATGTTTTGTTTGATACGACGGAGACTGAGCACCGGTCAGGGCAAAAATGTTTAGGGCATAGGTTGTTGTTTGGTTGATATCCTGGATCGTTGTACTTTGTTCATCTTGAGGATTTTTGCCTGAAATGCATAATAGACTCGGGGACGAGATTACCCAGCATGATAATTCGCAGTCGGGAGACAGAGCAGCATCAAATGTTACTTTCAGTTGTCTCTCATGATCCATCGAGGTGTGCTTGTAATCATGATTACGAACGGATGGGGGTATAACAAGCCGGTGTAGGACCAAGTAGGGCTGCGATTTATCCCGACAGACCATGCTCAAAGCATCGTTTATGGTCCGCTCAGAGATAGAGGGGAAAGCGTGTTTGAGTGGCAAGGGCCCTGGTAGGCTCGCCGATCTCGCGTGCGGGATCCAATGCAACATGAGCTGGACCTCCCCGCATTTTCCACTCCTTTTAACTTGAAGCTATCCCAAGGCGGGGATAGGTCATGTGTTCCCTCGCGCCCTCGTTGGAGTAGTTATCTTAGTTGAACTCTCGTGGCCTGATACCCAATTATTCTCAAGTAAACGATAGGTTAAGCAACCCGTCCGAACGCAATCAATTCCCTTTCCGATAAGCTTATCACTTGGCAAAACATTGGCATCGCCATCTCCTCCCTGTTCGGGTATCGTCTGTCGGACAAGCACCGCTCGTGGAAGCTGAGATAGAGACGTTTCTTATCAACTTTATGCTTAATTCCCACGCTAAAGCTCACTAGTTTGAGCACTGATCTTGACCAGTTGGAGTAGACTTACCCAGAATCATACCAGCGTCTATAGGACTTATCGTTATCATTATCTTTCTTCATCCCCGCACGGTACCAGTACTTTGTGCTCTTCGTCCGGTCGTGCGACATTTAAACTCAGGATGTCCCCCGCCCATTGTCCCCTCCTTTCCAGAGTCCGAATGCATTGGCAACATGGATAAGAAGAGTATTATAGATGACCATCAGGTCTCAAAAGAAGAGCCCGGTCATGGAACAGTGACCTATCAAGAGACCCAGCGTGGTCTCTCTTCTAGACAAGTGCAGTTGATGGCGATCGGTGGCTCTATCGGAACCGGTCTGTTCGTGGGTATAGGGTCATATCTGCGCGATACAGGTCCTTTGTCTGTGTTTTTGGGCTACATGTTCTATGGGCTTCTGTTCGTCTGGCCTGTCAATCTTTGTGTTGGAGAGATGTGTGCGTACTTGCCGATTCGAGGTTCTATCTTCGAGCTGGCGGCTAGATACGTCGATCCTGCGTTTGGATTTGCAATGTGTGTTTCTCGAACTCCTTAGGCAGCGAGTTACTAACATATCTATCAGGGGCTGGGTCTATTTCTATGGCGGCTTAATGCTTGTTTGTACAGAATACTCTGCTGTGGCCACTGTGATGGGATACTGGACCACTAGTGTCAACCCTGCGGCTTGGGTCGCCATGGCGCTGGTTGTTTGCTTCCTGCTCAATATCGTCGCGGTGAAGTTTTACGGAGAGAGCGAGTTCATCATGGCCTCCACCAAAGTTCTCCTGTTGATCGGTCTTGTTATGCTCACCTTCATTACCATGGTCGGCGGTAATCCGAAACACGATGTTTATGGATTCCGGAACTGGACTCATGGGGTGATGTACGAATATTATACCGACGGCCCGACGGGACGATTTCTCGGGCTTTTTTCCGTCATGGTCTATGCAGCGTTCTCAGTGGCAGGCCCCGATCTACCAGCCTTAGCAGCAGGAGAGATCCAGAATCCACGCTGGACCATCCCGCGTGTTGTCAAAATGACCTTTTACCGAATTGTAGGCTTCTACGTGGTCGGAGTCCTGGCAGTGGGTATCATCTGCTCGCCACAAGACCCTCATCTCCTATCTGCCATCGACTCAGGCGCAGCCGGATCGAATGCGTCTCCCTGGGTCATCGGGATCCAGAACCTGGGCATCCACGGGCTCCCAGACCTGATCAACGTATTGATTCTCCTCTCAGGGTGGTCCTGCGGCAACGCCTATGTCTACAGTTCCAGTCGCACGCTCTATTCGCTCGCACGAGACGGCCAGGCCCCGAAATTCCTCCTCAAGTGCAATTCAGCCGGCGTCCCAATCTACTGCGTCATCACCGTCTCGTTTCTCTCCTGCATCTCCTTCCTCGTCGCGGACACCTCCGCCGTCACCGTTCTCTACTGGTTCATCGACCTGACCACCTGCGCCTTGATCATCACCTACACCAGCATGGTCTGCGTCTTCCTAGGCTGGTACCGCGCCCTCAAGGCCCAAGGAGTCGACCGAAAGACGGCACTGCCCTGGGCCGCGCCCTGCCAGCCATACTTTGCCATCGGGGCCGTGACGATCGGCAGTCTGATCACGCTGTTCAACGGGTTCAACGTGTTCTCGCCGTTCAGCGTCCAGGGGTTCATCACCTCATACTTCGGGCTGGCGTTCTTCGTCGTCATGTTCTTGTTCTGGAAGTTGTACCACAAGACGAAGTTTGTCGATCCCGCGACGGCAGACATCTACAGCGGAAAAGCTGAGATTGACGCCGAGTGTCGGATCTGGGAGGAGGGCGGGTTTGAAGAGCGACGCAAGGCCGAGCTGGCAGAGATGCACTGGGCTAGACGGATGTGGGAGAAGATGTGGTGATGGCCAGGATTCCATTATGTGTAGCGTATCTTCACTTCTACATTAAACCCTACCTACAACACACCTACCTGCAAACCACCATGTAACATATATGGACATCCAACGAATTTTAGCACCAAATATCAATCCACTTCCCCCGTAGGCCTCCACATCATAATCCCACCCACATTCCCATCCTCGCTCCCCAAAATCATACAAAACCTGCCCCTCAACTCAAACCCCAAGCTGCGATAAAGCTGTTCCCCATCGCCACTCGCCTCGAGTCCAACAACCACTCCCTCCTCCTGCGCCCGCCGCATCGCCTCCCCCATCAACCGCCTCCCAATGCCCCTGCGCCTCCAGTCCGCAGAGACAACCACGCTCTGTGCATGCCACCTCTCGCCATACAAGCGCTTCATCTCCGCCGACTCCCAGAACCGCACATTATCCTCCTCAACCGCCTTCTCAAACTCGGCCACTGCATCCGCATCCACCGACCGATCCGGCCGCACGAGAGTCTCAATCCACGTCCGGACGGTCACCCACCACCGGCGCAGCGTATTCCAGATGGAGCTCTGCGCCGCGATGAGGTCCCGTGCGGCCTTGTCCTCGCCCAGACGGATGAACTGCGCATACCCCACTGGTGTACCTGGGTCGGAGGCAGAGACGGCGACGAAGCCGATGCACCTGGGGTTATAGTAGCGGGCGCGCATCGACTGGGCGAAGCGACGGGTGAAGTCCGCTGGGTAGGTATGGCGGTGTGGGCTGAGGAATTGGCTGAGGGGCGTGTGGAAGTAGGCTGTGGAGGCGAGCTGGGCCATCTGCGGGATGTCCGGGGGTGTTATGCGGCGGATTTGGACTGTGTCGGGCATGTTGAGTTAGAATTTGTACTATATTTGGGATAGGTTTTCGTCGGTGGAGGTGTAGTGTTTGCTTTAGGGATATAGATAACGTAGATTAAAGCGGATATATGTATGTCTGTCGGTGACTGGATTGGGTTTGGTGCTATATAGTATGTAGTCCCTAGGCGAATAGAGTGAGTGGTCGATCTCTGTTGTCGTAGTCGAATACGAGGTTGCATAAATACGAACGCTTGTTCTTGATCAGATGGGCGCTTTTGAGTCATTGAGTACTCTTGCTTTAAGATTTCTTGGCTGTTGTCGCGCCCTATCTTTGACAATGCTTGATATTATACTAACATCGATGTATCTTGGTCCCTGGTTTTGGTTTTTTTTTTTTTTATATATATATATATTTATTATTATTATTTCTTCAGGGGTGTATACTTAGAGTACAAATAATTGCTTTTCCTGGCAAGCATAATTTCTCGTGCTTTACGTGTACATTTATTCAATATTCCCGGCATCTTGACACTATGTGTCCACGCACTGTTTTCATGCCATCTGTGAGATTTATAAATATAAATCAACCCGCTGCACTGAGTAATGGGGACGTGTTTGGACTGCAGTGGTCCCAATGATTGGAAGTCAGTTTCCCTGGAGTTTGGCCTTGCAAGCTAAATGGATTTGATCGCCGCCCTCGCAGACCTTGACCGGTAGAGGTCCGGCTGTGGCCAGTGGATAAAGAGCATGAAAAGGTATATCTAGAACTAGGGCTTCTATGGTTTTATATAGCAATAAAGATTCTAGGTAAGGAATATACTAAAAGGGTTTCTACATTTCACAGAAAACTACCATAACGTTACAACTAATCCTTTCTCCGTGATAGTATCCAGCCAATGAGCAATACTAAGACATTGTGACTCCTGATCATCATACTGCCTCCATATATCTCTCACAAACTGTACTGTTTCCTCCATTCGTCTGTGTGGTAGCGTCTGTTGGAGACTACTGAGTCGCGTTAGGACAAGATCTCTTGATCTGGATACCTCCATGGTTGACCGTGGAATGACTGAATCCGTGGTGTCTCTCATAATGAGTTCATGATCAATATTTACGGGAAACGTCAGATTCGGTAATTCAGGCGAAAATAGGTTGGTTTCCTGAATGGAAGAATCCGACATGGGGTCAGAGGATGGATACACGCCTTGAATATCACCATCCGCGTTGGGGATGCGCCCCGGTTCCAACATGGTTTCAAATCTGAGGCCCGTGGCTGCGGAGAGATACAACATCAAATGGATAGACCTCGAGCCCGATTGGGGAGGTATTTGATGGAGCAGGGCAACAAGGTCTAGGGTCAATGAAAGGAGATACGTCGCTCGAGATTGCTGGTTCTCGACTGTGTTGTCTGTTCCATCGGTAGGTAATATCCCTGAGAAGCCGTGATACGCTTCTCGTGATACCATCGGAAGATCACTGAACGCAAGGTGTAACTGTAACAAGGCGGCTTGTCGATATGCTTCTGCAGTTTGCAACAGATGACCGATGGGTGTATTGTCATCCCCCGTCTGGACGGGAAACCCTTGGATTTCGTCCATGAGAACCAGGGTTTCAAAATCCATAGCCAATAACTGTCTTTGTAAGTCGTGCGCGATAGATAAGTCACAGAGCATTTCGCTCGCCATGACAGTCGTGAAGCTCCCTGTGTTCTTGCTGTGGCGACTCATATTACAGCACAACGCCAAGACATGACCAAAAACATCAATAACCTCATTGGAAATGCCGGACCATGAGTTGGGTCTGGTCCCCAGGAGGCTTTGCTCTGGATCATTTGGTAATATCTCGGAGGAGGTACCATTCGCGTTGGAACCTGAAAGTTGCAGCCCTTGGTAAAGCCTAACATGGTAGTGTCGCCTCTTACTCTCCAATCTCAAAGGAACTGAACCGCGCCCCGCTGCGGCCAGGAGCATTTCCCAGTAACCCAAAGCTTGGCTAAAGTACGCATGTAATGCTGTGTCTGAGCAGGATAGTTGCGTTCCCCATATAGAAAGTAATTCGCGGGCAGACTCCAGCCATGGATAGTTTGATACGGTCGACGTGGTGCAATTCCACGAATTGCCTAATGTAAAAACCGCGTAGACAAGGTCAGACGTCACCTTTGGTGACTGTGAATTGCGCACTAGATAAATTGCCTCATCAATGGCCATCGCAGCCTGGGATCTCAGCGACCGCTCGATGTACCGAAACTGCGGCGTGCTGACCGAAAGGCGAGCGGCGGACATCGCTTGTATGGTATAGAAAACAGCCTTCGATGTGCTCCATGAGTTCCAAGCCAGTTGGCGATTGTAGCTAGTCTGTGAATCAAATGTAGACCACAGGGGGCAAACATGACAAAACCAATGTTCAATCAGTTCCGTTGGTAGATGGGCAGGAGCCTGTAAAATCTTCGAGCTCCGTGTGGTATTCACTCTATACTGTGAGTCAGGAATGCCAGATGCTGGGTTTACACTTGTGTCCCACGTATCACCGGCATCTGGACGCACGCCGGACTCAATGGCGGTAGTTTGAAGAGGTGTAGGAAGCCGAGGCAGCCAGGGAAGACTAGGGTCAACAGCCAAGTCATCAAGTCCGTCGTGTGAAGCATTCGGGGCGCTTGCAATATTGATGCCTTGGCTCATTTGGCTGCTATCATCATCTCCATTTGTTTGGTCTGCAGATAGCAGACTGTCAAGCCCCCTCGACTGATCGGCAGGTATTTCTCTTGAGCATGTCCTTTGAGACCGCTCGTACTTTGTTGACCAGCGCAATACCTGTTGAAACCCGGGACACGAGCACCCAATTTTTATGCAGTTTTGACACGCCGGACGGGTCTCATCGCACTTAATCTGTTGGAGTCAGAATTTCGAATAGCGAGCGCCTCTCGCGCCACTATCGTGACTCACCCGTCTACTCTTGCACCGCGAACAGCCCAGTCGAGATTTTGGCGCCTTGCTACGGGTTCGCTTGTTTATGCGGTTCATTGAGGTTCTTTTACCGACAGCCTCTCCCCGAGACAATCTAGTCCGGCTGATTCTGAAGATGTCGTCTTGACGATTGAAAAGCCCCGCACCCTTGCTTCGGCTTCGTGACTAGGCGCCACGTGACTACCGCATGTCAATTAATGTTCACTGATAACAACTGCACAGGCAGCCAGAACCGACTGCAGAAAGGGCCTATAGGCCTTAGCCAGTGTGGATACTTTGATTGGGCTATATAACACCCGTGGTGGGGTTGTTGCTGGGTGGTAGCTTCGAGGCCATTGTCTTGTACGCTATACCGACTCTACCATCCTAAAACCGTCCAAAAAACATAGATCTCTTTCGTCTTATGGTCTATCCTAAACGGCTTCAACACTCCCTATTTATGAACATGTTGCCAAGCATCAACCTGCCTCCTGCTAGCTAAACTTATGCTGTAACACACGCAGTTTGCTGAAATAAGGGTCCTTGTCCACATAGGTCCCCCTCAGCCATCTTGGCTTTCCTACATCAGCCATATCGAAGGCTCTTCGGGAGTGTAGTGTTCTTGTATTGTCAAATAATACACACTCTCCCGGCTTCATCTTGCGCTCGTACAGATACTCTGGGCGTTGTAAAAGAGTATTGAATTTGGAGGCCGCCTGATGCCATTCATCGACTTTGCTGTTCAATGCCGAAAGAGCAGGCTGATTTGTTGGGCTTTCATGGTTGGAAAAAGGTGCGAGAAATGGAGGGCCCCAGTTGATCTTCTGCAGGCTTTCGACAAGCGTGGCCGTCTTCCTCTCAGAAGCCGAACTCCCACCCTGGCGGCTGTCCATGGCCTCCAAATAGTCGCTGACATTTGTATATACCGTATTACTCACACGAAGGGGACCCAAGTCGATGACAGGCTTGGTGGTGTGATACACATTCGAATCTGGATGGTTGTAATGGTAGTTCACAGGGACCGTGGCAAGGGTGTTGAATGCGTCCTTGTCTGTGTGAAACAAGTCGACCGCCGCCTTGAACGCATCGGCAAACACGCTAGCTCCTCCAGAAGATGCAGACTGGATACAGTGAAGAAGTTGGACATGCGGTGGCTGCTGAAAGTAGAGCAAGTCGGTGTGGAACCCCAAATCATGCGAGGTGTAGGCGGCATTAATCGCCGCCGGAACAGTCCGCACTGTATTTAACAGATTAGTTGAGCACCGGGAGGAACGCTATAGAGACCTACCATCCCAAGTATGACCATAAAATGTATCCTTCACCGGTCCAATCCGAGTTGCAATGGTGGCGAGAGACTCTGTAAGACCGGGGACATTGGTAACAAAGGCTAGTCCTTCAGTACGTAGCTGACTGATGAGTTGATACAGCGTTTTATCGTCCTTCATGTAGGCGTCATAGTCGTAGTCTGGCAGGTTGAGAGGCTCTTTGCTCCACAGCACTGGGGGTGGGAAGGAATCTGCGTGAGACCCAGGAGCCCGGCCGGATTGCATCATCCTCCGCACGGCTTTCATACTCAGTGTTGTAATGTGTTCTTTCTTGTATCCAGGGACATCTTTCTCCCACGCGATTTTTACCGAGTCCGATGGAGAGTCAATCTCAACTGCTCTGGCATGGACATCAGCAGGTATGTCGGCAGCAGAAAATAATCTCTGTTTCGTGGACTCGTGCACGCATAATGGGCATGCGCATGAATCACGCAGTAGTACCGCCGAGAATTCAGCCAACTCGCCGTCTACCGGGATGGAAACCCTTGATGGCTGCCTTTCAATCGGATGTGCTGTCTGGACTTTGCCCACCACCTTTCCGGTATGTTTCCAGGAACAGGGTTGGTGAAGGTAGCCGTCAACCACTGGGCGACTTGGTCTTGATAGTGGCTTCGGCACAACCTGTCAGTCTTGTTCTCGCACACTGAGTGCTGAATGAAATCACCCACTCACATGCAGAGCGTCCGGTCTATAGTTCCCGGTGTTCACTAGCTGAGCTGGTGACAAGCGTCGTGACGTTGAGAGCAATCGGCGGCTCGATAATCTATCTCGCCCGCATCCAAGGACATTCTGAACTTGGAGTTTTCGAGCGGCTTGCATGTTAAGGAGGCACATCAGTGTAAAGACAGAAAGGATGATATGATCTGGAGCTGTTCTGGGTCAGATCTATGCGAGAGGTCATTCATTTATGTATTCACGGTCGCATACAGCCATCACTCCGAAGGTCATGGATAGATACATCTGGCTGGCTGGTGGCTCTAACCCGATTGGTAAAATCTGTACGAACCGCGGCATCTGGTACGTCTTCATTTTGTGGTAGTGTGCGTGATTGGAATGATGATGAACGATGCACTTGTTGGACAACAAGGAAGGCCATTAACTGGAGTGGTGACCCGTGACTCGCATCGTATATACTTTCCAAATGGAGTGCTCGGAACGGACTAGTGTCATTTTCGATATTCCCGCTAAACTGAATAAGGTAAATCAATACGCTTGAGCCAATGGCAGTGGCACACTGGCGTCTGCCAGTTTAGAACCGACCCACACTGGTGCACTTGTATACATCGTTGACAGCAGGTTCAGGTTGTTTAGCCAGTGGGTTTCGACCTATTTGAGGATCCATCAACGCCCTTTCCTGAGGCTATAAAACTTGAAATGTTTCTCTACTGCTGAGAAATCTCCCCAAGCCCTCTATCTCTTCGTCACAGAATCCAGCACAATGGTACCAGCGAAAACGGAGACGCTCGATATGGCCCTGAACACGGAGTCAGATGCCCTTAAGGAAAAGAAGAAGAAGACGCCTCTCCAGTTGATATCTCAAGGGGCTTGTCTTCCAGGTATTCCTAGACACCCGAACTTTACGGCCCATCGACAATGGTTACTGGAGCAAATGGCGCTGGCTTTCCGAGTCTTCGCAAGAAAAGACTATACGGACGGGATGGCCGGCCACATTTCGGTTCGGGACCCTGAGAATCCCCACACATTTTGGACAGTAAGGGCGATAGCAACCACTATAGTCACGGAGCAAACCAGCTAATGCTCTCAGAATCCATTGGCAGTGCACTTTGCCGTATTAAAGGCGAGCGACATGATTCTTGTAAACCATGAGGGCATGCCCATCGGTGGTACTGTCCCTTTCTCCAGCCCAACTATTATTCCCCTCTTAACCTTAGTTCTTAGGAAATATGAGTCGGCCAGTGAACGCTGCAGGCTTCCTTATACACAGTGCAGTACACAAGGCTCGGCCGGATGTCAACGTGGCATGTCATACTCATAGCCCCCATGGGATGGCATGGAGCGCTTTCGGACGACCTCTGGAGATGTTGACCCAGGATACTGCTTACCTCTATGGTGACGCGCAAGCAGTTTACAAAGTACTGAAATCTTCCTGGTTTCTCGTTCACCATACTAAATGATAATAGGATTTCGGGGGTGTTGTGCTTACTGAGGAAGAGGGCAATCGGATCGGTGCTGCTCTAGGTACATTGGCCATTCCCTGACGGTGTGCCACTTAGACTTACTAATGCTGTAATTGAATAGGACCGAAAGGCAAGGGCATGATACTGCAAAATCACGGCCTTCTGACAGTAGGATCCACAGTGTCGGAGGCATGCTTCTTGATGACCCTCATGGAGCGTGCTTGTCAGTGTCAGCTACTTGCCGAGGCTGCGGCGGCAAATGGACTTCAGAAAATTCTTATCCCTGACGAGAGCGCGAGATATACATTTGAAAACTCTAGCGACCCCGAAACGCTTTATTGGGAAGGACAGCCGGATCTAGAGTTCGAGGAATACATGAGCAAGGGCGAACATCGACGTTGAGATGATGCAAAGCCAAGAGCCATTCGTCAACAGTTTTATCTAGGATTCTATGCTTCATATCTCTGGTATATTCTGTTCATATCTATTGGTAAAGTTAGTACTATTTTATATTGTCTGAACCCTCGATTTAGTCCACCATGATTTTGGAAACTTCGTCAATCTCAGGAGCCTGTGGGGCATTGACCGATTTCCTATAACCACCCACTGGATGGTTCGATTATTTCTGATCTTCCTGGTTGAATATAGATACTAATGATTCTACTTGCTTCTTTACCTACGCTGTCCATTTTCAATCAGAGCATTTACTCAAAACAAAAGAGTTGCAGTTCTATACTATTGCGAAGAGATCTCAAGTCTAGATTTCAATCTTAAATTGGGCTCTTCGCAACCTTATCGGGGTTTTCCTTCGTGGTAAAACAGAACAAAAGATCGCCAAAGGCATAATTATCACGGAGATCATCGAGGGCCTCGTTGATCATTTTCTTTTTGTCCGCACTTAGATTTTCAGGGCCGGTAATTCTAGAGTTATTAGTTTATAATTCTAGAGAGGGAAAACTCAGAACATACTCGATATTGAACCCATCAATGCCTTTAGGAAAGTGATTTCCGGGGGTGATGGTACAGTTAAAATTGTCTTGGAATGCCTTTTTCACCCTGATGAAAGGATTAGTAACTAGAAATAGGTTTGTTGGGAGAATAGATAAATGGATCCAAACATACCTGTCCACCATGGGCTGGGCTGGCGCCACGTCGAATGGGTTTTCCGGGGTAGGGACTATGCCTCCGAATTGGAAGATCTTGTTGGTTAATAAGGAGAAATGGTAAATCAGTAAATCGTTAAGGTAGGTAGACTTACATATGTACTCATGGTTGCGGTGGTTGCGGTGGTTGATTTGGATTTCTGGAAATGTGCGTTTGAGCCATCTTAAGTATTTCAGACAAAGGAGGGGCATCCTTCTATGGCCCTATCGTAGCGCAGTGCTAGTACGTGGTCACATCCACACCCCATCGATTCAGCTGAAGGCAAGCTGAAAGGGTGTGCGGATCTCAGATCGGCAAGATAACTTACTCCTTCTGGCAGGTCGGTCTCGGTTCAGCTGCCAGAATAATTGAAGTTACTCCGTACGTGCCACAACCTCCGAACATCCACCCAACTTGAACGCGCACGGCGACAAGTTCCATTCTAGAAGTTGCAGGTGTAGCGAAGAGAGAATGGGGGTTCCCAGTGCTACCCTGTACAGAGCAGAACATGGAATGAGCCAGAGCAGTGTGAATGCTTCCAACAGCTATGGTGGCACGTATGCTACTCTCCCCAAGCGGACCCCGGGAATGAAAAAGTTGATCATACCTGGGCGAACTTCGAAACCCTCTTTCTTTCGTTTCGAAACTAGTACTGGATGTGATCCAGCTCAATTGCTATGAGAGCCAAAAAGGATCTGAAAGTCAGTAGGGCTTCTATAGCAGGTACTACCGGACTATGATGGCCCAAGAATCACTTTAAGGGCTACCTAGCATCTTAGCTGGCAATCTCATTGCTGGACAGATCATCCATCAACCTCAACCTTAAGATCAATGCCAAGACAAAGAGCGGTCATACCTCTCTGTGCCGATATATCTAGTGCTTAAAGTTCCTCGCAATTTCAGGACAAAGCAGTATCTATCGATCTATCAGAAGATAGATAAAAAAGAAAAACATACAACAGGAGGGATTCGCTGGTGGTCACCCACCCAACTATTAATCTCCCGGCGTGTGGCTTAAACGTGGCCATGGGAAAGTTGACCTGACTTTGTCATAGTTCAATACGCAGGGTGGCCACTTCCTCGACGAAGATATCAGCCGGTTCGATGCTGCATTTTTTAATATTAGTCCGGCTGAGGCCAAGGTAAGGATGCCTAGCCCATGGCCTATCACTATCACTACAACAATAAGAATATTAACATTTCGGAGGCAATGGACCCTCAGCTGAGGTTGCTACTCGAGGTTATCTATGAAGCATTTGAAAATGGTATGTTTGGTTTTGTCGATTCCATGAAAATGACGCCCCATGGCTGACATTCCAAGGCGGGTTTACGCTCGACCGGTTGAAGGGTGGTAACGCGTCTGTATATACTGCCCTGTATAACAAAGATTACGAGAAGATCTTCATGCGCGATCAGGAAGAGCTTCCTGAATCTTACATTGTTACAGGAAACGGAGAGGCTACGTACTCGAATCGCTTGTCGTACTTCTTTGACCTCAAGGGACCGTCGTTCCCGCTGGATACAGGGTGCAGTGGAAGCATGGCCACCCTACATAATGCGTGCTTCAGTATTTAATCTGGTGAAAGAGACCAATCTATTGTGGCGACGCGTTCCGTAAGATTCAGATGGGCAAGCATGCGGGCAAGCTTGTCCTTTCATATAGCGATAGCGACGTCATCAAGGTAAGACACAGATCCCGGTGGCACTACCATTATTCTCTGACTGATGACAATAGGTCGCTCCACCTCTGGTTACCACAAACTGCATTGAGAGCGGATAGGACTAAGTCTGTCTTCTGTTTATACAGTTAATGGGTCAATGTGATTTCGTGATGGGATGTAGATACGAGCAGGTGTTAAAATAAAAGCTATAGAGAACCAAAAAAGTAAAGAAAAGAAGATGAAACAAAAGAAAACCTCCAATGCGTAAGCCGATCCACGACTTTAAGTAGCCGCCGGATGGTTGGTATCACTCATTTATGCATCCTTTCCAATTCTCCATCGGTTTGTATCCGCTACTTCCGAATCCGAGCAGAGCTACTGTCTTCGAATCTGGTTATTGTCCTTTTCTTGGTTAGAAGTATGTATAGCTATTGAACTGTCGTTGTCTCCGATTTGCTTTTCTACTTTAGGGTATCTTCTGAAGCTAACCCTATCACTTCCGCGGATGGTTCATCCCCACCGAGGTACCACGCCTACCAAACTACAACGTTCTAAACTCAACGCAGAAAAGCGCAGCGGGTAATGGGTTGCGCGGGCTCCGTAGATGGTTTTTACCCATCATCCCGTCCGTTTTATCCGATGCCCCAAGCTCTTGGCCATTAGGCAGCAAAAATAATACCTGACGACTAGCTGAGTTGTGCATTTCATTGACATCATAACTTGATTCATACACTACTGGATTTATGCGAGATATACCTCCGATCGACCCGTCAGCTAGCTAGCTGCTACTTCGCACTGCCAAGCAGGAGCCACATCCCTAGTAGACGCACCAAAGGGCGAGAAGTATTAAACGCATCTTTTTTCCTCCGCACTTGTACCTCGAGTAGAAACACGTCGAATACCAAGAAAGGGAAATAGGTACAAACTCCCTTTCTCTTAAATATATTCTTGGCTAGTTCCACATCGTGGTGCACTAGAGAGTCGAGACTAGGGTGAGCATGCGCAGCCGAGTGTTACAGACCCTTTTCTAGCACACCTTATTGAAAGCAGATAAGGCAGGATTTCATATAATAACAACAGTCGATTACGGTATAGCTATTAACCAAAGAATTATTCTATATATTATGAATCTATAAGGACTAATGATGCCGAATCGCCCATATTAGTTATACAGGAGTCATATATGATAGTAGTAATATAATCAAGCGTATCAACGAACCAATAAATTTATACATAATAGCACTAATAAAAAGAAATTCATCTACAAGGGTTAGGATTGTGAAATAGTGTGATATAATATATTAACCTTCAAAATAGCAATTCCATACAAATAACCTGTATCCAGAAGGTATCCTGATGACGAACCATCTAGATACTAGAATCCGCTCCTACTTGCCTTTCAAATCACTCTGTTCGTCAGATATTTCCCCTTAACCCCTGGAGAAAGTGACGTTCCTCGTCAGTGACTCGCAAATTGTGCAGAATATCTTCACTCGAGGGTGATATATCTTCGGTTGCTGGTCGAGCTCTGTGTTTGCTGGCTTCTGATGGATGGGTCGCACTCTCTCTCCAGCTGTGGAAGAGGCGGCGCTCTTCTTCAGTCACCCGCAGATGATCTATGATATCCTTTCTTGTAGACTCAGGTAGTGTAGATCTATTCGATGTACTCGAGATGGCGGGACAGAAGTACCGGCTAGCCAAATGCTCGGAAGCACAGCCGCACAAGTCAACCCCTGCATCATCTCGGATTCCAGACCCTCCTGTCCTGGCTCGAGCCGATTCCTGTTTCCGGCCAGAGGAGGCAGATGCTATAGGTGCTTTAGGAACCTTGATTGAGTGTGGGACATGGCCGGGATCTTTGTTGAACGAGGGTAGCCGCGCTTGATTAGGAGTGTGGGATGTCATTTTGGAAGATGTTTTATCGTATTGGCAACGGGGAGATCTTCGTCTGCGGAGTAGAAACAATTTTCGATGAGCCAGTGGGACGCTCATAAATTTAAGCCCGTTAGAAGAAACCAATTGCCCAGATCATAGGTGTGAAACTGTTGATTGACATTTTGTGCGATCGAATAGTTGTGTCGGGCGAATCGCACTTCCCCGCTTCCCTTTCTGCCTGTGAGGCGCGTGTATCTAGCAAAAGAGTATATACATAAATTAAGATACAAGAACTGTGGACTCTTTAAACACATACTTTCGTTATTCTAGTCTTCATAGAAGACTTTACAACACTACCTATCATTAGAAGTTTTTTACATCATGGTCGTTCTCTCTACGGAATGGCTCGAGGTACATATTTCACCCATAACCTTCTCATTATTGCCTAGTTATTAATAAGCAGTAATGCAGCTTGAAGAAGCCCTCGGGAATCGCCCCCTTCTCAAAGGCTCTCCAGAAGAGATCAAGAAGCAGTACAGCGGTCTTATGACTTTCCTTGCAGCTAACCGCCCTCCGCCAGACCCATATGTATCCGCGAACGACATGACAATCGCTGGGGTCAAGTGTCGGGTATACACGCCCGGTTCGCCAGCAACCCCTCGGCCCGTCGGAATATACACCCATGGAGGTGGATTTGTTTGCGGTGATCTTGACTCTGAAGATGCGCTCTGTCGAGTGATCTCCAAGGCCGTAGACTGCATTCTCGTCAGTGTAGACTACCGACTTGGCCCTGAGCACAAGCTCCCGGCCATGCTCCAGGATACGCTAGCGGTATACCAATGGGTATGACTACTTTGCCACTGGAAAGGACTATTCTAACAAGATCTCCCCATTTGCGCAAACAGGTATGGGAAAACGCTTCCCAGCTCGGCGGCAATCCGGCCGCGTTCTTCTCCATCGGCGGGAGCGCCGGAGCGGGATTGGCTCTTGCTGTTGCGAATCATTATGCTCAGCGAGCTGACGGTAGGAAGTATATCAAAGGAGTTGTTGCACTAGTACCATTGGCGTTGCACTGGGATAATGTCCCTGCCGAGTATAAGGGCGACTACACGTCGTATGACGACAACGCAGACAATGTCCCCGTTATCGACAAGTCTACGATGGAATCGTTCTATCGTAAGTCATCACCCAAGAGCCTAATCCAGCCCTATTCAACAGCTTATACTTATATCAGAGGCTGTTGCGGCCGATCCAAATGATTCTAACATCTTCACTGCCTTGTCACCCCATCTTCCAAATTTTCCACCTACGTATATCTGTACCTGCGGAGCGGACCCCCTCCGCGATGATGGAACTATAATGGAAAAGTCTCTCAGGAAGTCTGGGTAGGTTTCATATTCCAGATGGTCTACCATCTGCGGATCTGTCTCGGGCATTTCTAACGGCGGCATCTCTTAGTGTTCCAACGAAGCTGTCAACATATCCAAATCTACCTCACTATTTTTGGATCTTCCCGGACCTGGAAGCTAGTGGAGGGTTCATCAATGATGTGATTTCCGGGACTAACTGGGTCATTTCGCAGTTCCCGACTTTGAATTAGATGATCGCGCTGGCTGGGTGGCCGTCATGGCTGTACAAATCAGTATCACCAAAGTCTCAGTAATTCACAAGAAGAATTTACAAAATAAGATATGTGAGCGTAAAGAACCGGCGTCAGCCTAATTTCATTCCTTTCAGAGTTGTATATGTTATTATAGGCGTAATACATTGCGTGTCCTACCGTCCTTGTTGGCCGCCAGGTGTTAGGACCTTCTGCTATATCTATGTTATTACTCGCACCCATGCTTACTAGTCGCTTTTTGTCAGATGAGTAAATCTATGTCCTTCGAGGTACTGCCCCTCAGGAAGCGATAAGTAGATTAACCCCAGGCCCATGGGAGGGTCAAATCGAATCTACTCCGCGTCGCACGGGGTGCGAGAAAAGTCAATCCCCACAGTGTCGTCGGTGCGAGTGTGCGAGTCGCACTCCCAAGCCGGGAAACGCAGATCCGCCCCGGATCTCAGGACATCGGAAAGCTCAACGAGCAAGAAAGACACTATATATTACAAGAGTAGTGTTGCTGCATCGCATTAATTTAAGAATACATTTCACATCCATTCCCATATCCCCCATTATCGCTTCTCATCTAGCAAGTTCTCATTACACAGCAAGCTACAACAACAACAACATGAACGGCACACAAACATCCAATGGCGTCCATCACGGCGTGTTACATCTGGATGCGCTGATTATTGGCTCGGGCTTCTCCGGCATATACCTCCTGCATAAGATACGCGACGAGCTGAAATTGAGCGTCAAGATATTTGAAGCCGAGTCGGATATTGGTGGAACGTGGAATAATAACCGCTATCCGGGTGCACGAGTGGACTGCCCAATTCCCTTGTATGCATATTCATCGCCTAAGATATGGCAGTCGTGGAATTGGACGGAGCTGTACCCCAATCAGAAGGAAATCAAGTCCTACTTTGACCATGTTGATCGCGTGCTGGATGTGCGGAAAGATTGTCTGTTTGAGTCAAGGGTCAATGAGGCCACGTTTGATGAGGTGGCTGGTCGATGGACGGTCCGGACAACGGATGGGAAGATGGCAACGGCGAAGTATCTGCTTGTGGCGGTGGGGTTTGCATCCAAGTCGTATCTGCCGGATTGGAAAGGGCTCGAATCGTTCCAGGGGACAATTTACCACTCAGCCCATTGGCCGGAAGCAGAAGAGGTCAATGTGAAAGGGAAGAAGGTGGCAGTCATCGGCACAGGCTCGACAGGCATCCAGATATTCCAAGAATGGGCCAAAGAGGCCGAGGAGGCGTTTCTCTTCCAAAGGACCCCGAATCTCTGTCTCCCGATGAGACAGCAGGAGTTACATGCTGGCTATCAGGTGAAAGATAAGGGGGACTATGCAGACTACTTGGCCGAGTGTGCGTTAACCTTTGCCGGGCTGGAGTATCAGCCCACTCTGACCAATACATTTGATGCATCTGAAGCGGAGAGGGAGGCGTTCTGGGAGAATCTCTATCAGTTGGGCGGGTTTAGGTTCTGGCAAAACAACTATCAGGACTTCCTGACTAGCCTTGACGCCAATCGCGAGGCATACAATTTCTGGGCTCGAAAGACCCGTGCGAGGATTCAGGACCCTAAGAAGCGGGACCTTCTGGCTCCGCTGGAGCCCCCGTACCCGTTTGGAACGAAGAGGCCATCCCTTGAACAGGACTTCTACGAGCAGTTCAACAAGTCGAATGTCCATATCGTTGACACAAAGAGCCAGCCCATTGTTGGTGTGACGCCTACCGGCATTGTCACCGCTAATGGAAAGGTCCACGAAGTCGATATTATCGCGGTGGCAACGGGCTTTGATGCAGTAACTGGTGGCTTACTGCGCCTAGGTCTCAAAGACGTGAACGGTGTCGGCCTCGACGAACGCTGGAAGGATGGCATGTCCACCTATCTCGGCATGGCCATTAGCGGGTTCCCAAACATGTTCCTCCCATACAGCCTCCAGGCGCCCACCGCTTTCGCCAATGGACCGACGCTAATTGAACTCCAGGGGGACTGGATCACATCCCTGATCAGCAAGATGGAGACGGAAAACGTCGGAAGTGTCACGGCTACCCCTCAGGCAGAGAGTGCTTGGAATGACGAGGTTAATATGATTACCAACATGACGCTTTTGCCGTTAACTGATTCGTGGTACATGGGATCCAACATACCGGGCAAGCCCGTTCAATCGTTGAACTATCTTGGTGGTCTTCCAACCTATCGTGAGAGATGTGCGAAGGTTCTTGATGAGGATTTCTTCGGTTTTTCGAAAGCATGATGTAGTAGAATTGCTTTTTCAAGTACATGTAAATATGATATCTCCTCTGCAATGCTTGATGTATACTGATATTCCGATTGGACTACCTAGTTCCCAAGTAAAACATTTATAATTTACATCTGTATTCATTTCTTTCATATGATGACTTTGTCCATCGAAGGACATCTGTGTATAAACTGAAACGCTCCAATCCCCGTGAAACATACCATATTGCGCCGGCCCAAATAGCATAAAAACAGAAAACAAGCCGAAAGCCTCCTGTCAAGGACTAAATGGACAATACGGGTAGTGGGTTATCAGGAGGAAGCGTGAAATAAGAAGGTGATGTCACATTCTCGGATGCCATGTCTTCTTCTAAGGCGGGAAATAAAGAGAAGAAAGCCTTGCACATCTTCCATTTCGAAAGGTCTACCAAGTGCAGACTGAAGGCCTCAGAAAAGGAATATAATGCATTCCCAGGGTTAATCTCATAGGCATTACTGATTGAATGGGGCCACGATAATCGGAAGCAGGAGGCAAAGTACTTGAAGAATCTGTCTGTAAGTATCTCGCAATTTGAGAACACTAGGCGTTCGCGGAAGCCAGGCCTAAGTATGCCAGGACCAGTTAGTTCTTCGAAACAGAAATTATTGAATCGAAGATAGGGGTCATATATATGTACCAAGCGAAATAGTCCGCAGTGGGGTTGTGCGGAAGGTGAAGCTGTGAAGGCCTTTGTGGATGATTAGCATAACATGCATTCAGCGATGATCAGGCGAATACAAACCTTGGTCGATACCACGGCGGAAGCCCTTCAAAATTATTTTGATAGACCATTGCCTGGAAGAAGGTCAATATACAGGTGTGTCACTTGTCCAGTAGCTCATACCACGAGCATCTTGAGGATGGTGCTGAGCATTGTCAGACGTGTGAGGACCCCGCTTTGTATGAAGATCCGCTCATCAATTTGGCTAATAATTTTCCACAGCGGGCACGAATACGCCCTATCCTCTATAAAGTGCCAGCCTTCAAGGACCCCGCGGATCATGGCGTCTTGGTTTAGTTTGTCATCGGAGCAAATGTCTAGGATGCTCAATCCCGACCATTGCGCGAGAACTTCGTCGGAGAATTCAAGTATCATGCAACTGCCGCTATCCTGGAGCGATGGGAAAATGGTTGGCCAGGTGGTCGAGTGTCCGTTCCCCAAAGTCCCTAGGGCTTTCCTGAAAGGGGCGACTGTTTCTGAATCGAAAGGAGCAGCTGATGGTCGTGAGGCCAACATTGTGCATGGCTCATCGTGTAAGGACGAATGGAGATCGGATGGGGGCAATGAGTCTTCTGGAGACATGGTCACGGGCGGTAACCCTAGATCGAGTCTGTCAGAGTCAGAAGACGCTCATTATTGGGCAAGGGAAAGGCCACAGTACCGAGTCTGAGATTGCAGTAAAAGATGTAGTGCAGTGACTTGGCTTTGAAGATTCTTTAGGCTCTCTTTTTCCTTTTCCTGCTTTTCTCGTTTGGATACCCTGTCCTTGTAACGCTTACGCTCTCGTTGCGCCGGGGTCAACACACGACCGGAGGTCCACGGTTTAGTGGGTACCGATCGGTCTGACGATAATCGTGTAGCCATTGGAATCAACCTGCCTTAAACTTGTGGACAATCGCGGGAAATTTCCAACGTGTAGAGGATGTCGCAAAGGAACGAGCAATAGAGGGGCTGGCGTGGGACGTCAGAGATGGACCACAGACAATCTACACCACGAATTCGTTCCCCCGCACTTGTTCCCCAGGCTTCTGAAGCTTCGTTTTGCCCCCGACTAGGACGCTTTGGGATAGACCGAGGTACTAAAGGTCGACTCAATCTTGGCTCACCAAAGAGTGTGGATTTTCCGCGGGACCCGGCGGAGCCGGTGCGAATTACGACGGGATGATTGGGCCCTCCGCAGATCGATGGATCAACATCTGGGGTGTGCGAATCGCACAAGTGATAGAGAAATGATCGGCAGTGAGAACCCTCCCTCCCGAGGAAATAGTATATTATATATAGAATACCAGATCGCTTTCCAGTGCCAGCTTCTTGTTCATGCTAAACTACACTTTCAGTGACATAGTCTCGGAAAGCCACAGCAATCGCATTTGTGGAAGTCAATTCTCAGCAAATTGTCAGAATCATCATGTCGTCTTCAGTCGAAATTCCTAAGAAGCACAAGGCGGCAGTCTATGACAAGCCTGGATCTATATCAACCAGTGTGAAACTGGTGGAAACGCCAGAGCCGGGATTCGGCCAGGTTCTGATTAATCTGTGAGTGTTGCCAATGTTACCACCTCGGTTGACCACTAATCTGTGCATGGAACAGGACTCATTCCGGAGTCTGTCACTCCGATTTAGGTGTCATGACAAATTCCGTGAGTACATGCATCGTATATCACCCACAGGAATGCATCTGACACATTGCCAAACTGCAGTGGAAGCCGCTGCCGTTCCCAACTCAGGAAGGGCAGGTTGGAGGCCACGAGGGTGTTGGTGTGGTCGTGAAACTTGGACCTGGATGCGATAATTCACAAGTCAAAGTAGGGGATCGTGTTGGAGTCAAATGGGTTGCCGCTGTGTGTGGAACATGCTGTGCGTCGACACCATAATTACACCAACCTAGAACTAAATACTAATGGAAAGCTCCAAGTGCCTTGCCTTTCGGGGTCTGACGGCCTTTGCCTGAATGGAAAGATATCAGGCTATTATACCCCTGGTACCTTTCAGGAGTACGTTCTGGGGCCCATCGATTATGTGACCCCAATTCCAGAAAGTGTCCCGTCCGAACTAGCAGCACCTATGCTTTGCGCCGGTGTAACGGTGTATGCGGCCCTCAAACGCAGCAAGGCGCAATCTGGTGACTTCGTCGTTATTTCAGGGGCGGGAGGTGGTCTTGGACATCTTGCCACACAGATTGGAAGTCGTGGCCTTGGGTTTCGCATAATTGGAGTCGATCATGGCAGCAAAGCCGACTTGGTGAAAGAGAACGGTGCAGAAGCTTTCGTGGATATAACCCAGTTTCCGAAGGACGATAATGGCGCCGCCATTGCAGAGCATGTCAAATCTCTGACCAACGGCCATGGTGCCCATGCCGTAATTGTCTGCACGGCATCCAATATTGCCTATGCGCAAGCAATTCCTATGCTCCGCTTTAATGGCTCCCTGATCTGTGTAGGCGTTCCTGAGGGCGACTTGGTGCCCATTGCCACAGCAAGCCCGGGCCCTCTTGTGCTTAAGCAGATCTCAATCGAGGGATCCGCGGTTGGAAATCGACGAGACGCCCTTGAGGTCTTAGACTTTGTTGCCCGCGGCATCATCAAACCTCATGTTCGAACGGAGAAGCTGGAGAAACTAACAAGCATTTTTGAGGAGATGCACTGTGGTAAGCTCAACGGACGAGTGGTTATAGACCTATCTTAAGACCTCTGGGTGGACAAGTGGCCTGTCGCCACGACCTTTTCCTTTTCATATCCTCTGATAACTATTTGATTTTGTTTGGCTTCAGTCAGATCCAATATCATTTGTATGAATTATCAGCACAATACACTCTGTTAGGGTTAGCGGGGTTAGTTTAAACCGCGGCTTATCCGCTAGCTTATCCGAGCGGCCCTCCTGTTGTATATTTTTGTTTGCCTTTATTATTTTATTTTGATTTTGATGTTTTTAGTTTAGACTATTCAATTATCACATTGCTTTAAGTAGAGTTATAGTTGTGATAACTTAAAACGGAAAAGGCATTATGCCAGGCTTGTATCGTTGACTGCCATATATACCAACAGGGAGTCCCTGTTGGTATATATATAATTAAATCTATATTAAATTATCTAGTTTATCTAGCTTATTTAATTTATTTATATTTTAAATAGAATTATCTAGTTTATCTATACTTACTCTATAATTTAATATTATTTATTTATAAAGTAGCGAGTTCCAGAGGGCGCTACTATTCTTTAGCTAAGCTTATATAATTAGCTTAAGTACGGTTGAGTGGATGGGAAGCCCTGTTCTCTATACCCTATGGTCGTATGTACTAGCTTGTCCTAAGTTAAGGATTATATAGAGGTATTATGGACATCCATCTGGCAGCCCGGTGTGGTCTATTCGTCTCCACTTCAGTCTGTTGCCCCAGAGGTCCACCTTTCTGATCAAGCGAAGAGTATCACCTATCCGTTAAGGTCCTGATGACCAAATACGCGTTATATACTGATTGATGCGCGTTCAGCAGACCCTACTTCTTTTACTTCTGGCATTCCAGAGCTTGTACCTGGTAATAATCTTTTTCACAACAGCTGTCGCACTCAACGACGGTATTAGTGGCTACTCATGTTTGGACTTCTCTGTCTGTATGTCTATTGGTTGCTCGGCAGGCGTACCGTACAATATAGTGGAATATGTAGTCGCTGATGCGTTTTTACATGGAAATTGACAACTGCGATATGAAATGCCCACCAGTCTGGATAAAAAAAATGTTCCCTGTTCTCTGATGTATTGGACGTCATTGTGCGTCTGTGGGGAAGAGAGAACCGTTCCCCCCGTTCTGGACATCAGTTAAAAACATGCCCACCTTGTGATATTGGCGATGTAGGGAAGCGATCATCAGCTTCAAACAGAACCATGCATATCAAGCCTACAGAGTGGTATCACACCATGCACTGATGTGACTCGGAGCCCTTAATCCCTTCTTCCCAGGTTGTCGATGCTTCAGGAAACGTGTGGCCTTAGCCTCACACGTCTGAGATTATCTCCGGAGGTGAATTCTCCCGGCAGACAAAGAAGATGATTGAACCATGTAGCGCTATAGGTTTGGTGCAGCTGAGCGGGAATGGTAGTACAGGTAGCTTTTGAATTAAAAGCTGTTCAAGACATCAGGAAAAAAGAAATTGATGCACTACAGAATCAGATCGAGGAGAATGATGATAACGGGAAGAAGCAATATGAATAAGAGCGGCTTTGACGAAAGCCTGAAAGAATGACCAAGGGGGCAGAACTAGAGCATCTCCAGAAGCTCCGAGAGGAAGCCGAGGAGCAACGGTGCAAACAGGAGGCCCGGAAACCGAGTATGATGGGGGCTTGCTGCATGGGGTTCCGGTGGACCAAGCAGGCTCAGGGATATCAGTGTGCTAGAGTCTAGTATATTGTTTCGAATACGCAATTGGGATTGTAAAAATTGATTTCTTGTCCGGCTTGCCAATTCCTGGATTAAGGACCCGCATCATTCGCGGCATTTGTGACATCCCCTGCATGTACTGGTTCTTATTGATAGTTCAACTAAGGCCAGAGAAGATCTCCAAGACTGTCTCTTCATGTGACAGTATCAGTTCATTGGAATGTCGCTCTAACAACCCTGCTTGACTATAACTCACGATGCTCTACAAGGTGTTTTGGCCGCTTAAAGACTGCTTTAGTCAGGCTAGTAGGCTTTAGTGTGGTCTGGCATAATCAGAGATACTGTTACTGGTAAAGTAGCTCGAAAGGTAGCTCTAGAAAAGGGCTCTCCTGTCTCGCCATCTTGACTCCTATCCTATTGAGCATACGAAGACACATGTAGATCATTGTACTAAAGAGCCACTCCCTGACTGCAAGTCGTACATAAATGCCTCAACTCGCAAGGTAGACATGCATCTACCATGGCTATATCGCTCCTTTCTAAGATACGGATGAGTACTACTCCTAAACGGCTACGGAATGGTCACCGCACAGACCGACAGTTTTCACTCAATATCAGCCGAAGTTCGTAAGTGACCGGCGTGTTTAACGTTGACAGGATTATAATAACGTAGGACGTTCATCTCAACAGCTATTACTACACAAGGTGCTATATGCCGATGAAACCAGAGGCCACGGTCAGGTACATACGTCCAGCGATATCTTTTTAGGCCATTTGAATTCATACCGGCAATGCTCTCAATCTCTTTAAGAGCGATGATCAAACAATTACCGTGGGATAGGGATTTAATGTGAGTTGGGAGCCAGTGAATCAATAGAAATTAATCAACGTCAGAGACCCCTCTGGTTTCGGATGTAAGCTCGCTACTATGCGCGCGACTCACGAAGGCGCATAACCCCTTTGGCGGTGGAGATAACTGCGGTGAATACACTGGATATGGAGATTCCCCTGATTCTTGATGTTAGTTTATCAATCTCTTTGCATCCTAAGTGGGGTGGATGTCTCTACATGAAACGACTCAACCCTAACGTTTCCCGATTCGGGTCATGATAGACGTGGCTCGCTCCTTAATCGGGAAATTTCCCGCACTGGATCTCATCGAGTACGTCAACCAGATCCTCAATCGTACAATTTCTCGTTCATATAAGCCGAAGATCTTCTCCAGGAGGATGTCCGGCCAATCCTCCAGGACAGGGATACTATTCCCTGTTAACGTAGTCGTTCGGACAAAGACGCGCATGCGAACCGGTCGATCTTCCGGACTGGCTCCGTTGAAGACTTTATATTTACTGTATAACAGTGACCGGCTGTGCTGGCGGTTCTGTCTTCATCTGAGTATCTGCTAATTTAACCTCATTGTCACCAGACGTATATAACCATCACCGCAAAAACATGCGTCCCTCAACCCTGGCCGTAGGGACAATCGCATCCCTAGCGACCATCATCCAGGCCTTCACGCACCCCGGCCTCCTGCACACAAACTCCGACTTCGAGCGCATCAAAACCAAAGTCCAATCCAACGCCGAACCCTGGCTAACAGGCTGGTACAAACTAACCAACAGCTCCTTCGCCAAAACCTCCTACACCCCACGCCCCCAAGAAACCATCTACCGGGGTAAAGACGGCACGCACGCGGAAAACTACCCCAACCTGTACAAAGACATCGCGGCGGCCTACGCGCTAGCCATCGAATGGAAAGTCACCGACGACAAAGCCTACGCCGACGCCGCCGTCTCCATCTTGGACGCCTGGGCCACAACGCTGAAAGGCATCTCGGGAAACTCCGACAAGTTCCTCGCGGCGGGAATCTACGGCTACGAGTTCGCCAACGCCGCCGAGATCATGCGCGACTACGACGGCTGGGATAAGACGAAGTTGGCCGCGTTCCAAGAGATGATGGTCTCGGTGTTCTATCCCATGAATCATGATTTCTTTGTCCGGCATAACGACGCCAAGATTGACCATTACTGGGCGAACTGGGATCTGTGTAACGTGGCTTCGATGCTCTCGATTGGTGTGCTGGCCGATAATGAGACCATGTATCAGGAGGCGGTGGACTATTTTAAGAATGGGACGGGCAACGGTGCCATTGAGAAGATGGTCTGGAAGTTGTATGATGTTGAGGGTCAGGTTCTGGGCCAGGGCCAGGAGGCCGGGCGGGATCAGGGCCATTCTATGCTGGACTTCGCGCTGTTAGGGGCTATCGCTCAGGCGGCGTTTAATCAGGGGGAGGATTTATTTGCTTATGCTGATAATCGCATTTTGGCGGGGTAGGTGTTTTTCCTGCTTTCCTTTCCGTTCTTTTGTCCTCTTGATTCTTGGCTTTGGGGATGGACTTGTTGCTGACGTTTGCCAGGGCGGAGTATGTGGCCAAGTATAACCTCGGCGAAGACGTTCCCTATACGACGTACCAGAATAGCGATGTCACGCAAACGGTTATCAGCGAGAACTCCCGCGGCGATGTGCGTCCTATCTGGGAGCTTCTGTACAACCACTATGGGGTTCTCAAGAAGCTGAATGTGACTTGGACGAAGAAGTATCGTGGTATGGTGGTTGAGAAGGGTGAGGGAGCTGAGGGTGGTGGTGGTTATTATGGGAGTACAAGTGGTGGGTTTGATCAGTTGGGATATGGGACATTGCTGTATAGTCTTTAGATTGGTGGTGTTCTGTTGCTTGGATTTGTTCAAAGGGCTGTGGATGAGTCGTTGTCATGGATATGATGTAGATGGAGCCATATTTTACCTTGAGTCTTCCATACCATACTATAAGTATAGTCTACCTACTACTCTCATACTCGTTAAACGCAAAAGTCTATCTGGATAGAACCCCCTCAGTATGAAGGAACGGCCACCATAACGACCCCTCATAACCATCCACCACACCGAACAACCATACCAAACCAGAACAAAAGCAACTATAAGCCCATCCCACCAACGAAGACTACCCCAGAAAGCCACAACCCAATCTACGCCGAGCCATGCATCGACCAAACCACGAGACCCAAATCTCCATCCTGCATAGGATCTCATCTCGCCCTAGGATTTCAATATCGACCGTCCCAGTATACACATAGTAATCAGACGGCACTGACCGGATCCCTCCCGGAAGCCATGCGACAGGGGATTTGAATACAGCCCGCTAGAGGTGATACCTACACGGTGGCTGCATGGCCATAATCAAATGACGCCTTTCTCGTGTCGGTGGGTGTACGCTGAGCTGGAGCTGTAGATGTACTCGGTCTGTAGTCGTGTTTGTCTTTGATCTTGTTCTCATCGGGTCGACTAGATTAGGTGGTTGAGATGAGAACTGGTCGGATGGTGAGCTGGACGGCCGTTGATGCGGGTTGTTTTAAAGAGGTCTGGAGAGGGAATGAGATGCCTGTTTGGGGTGAGTGGTCCGGCTTGTGGTTTTGGCCATGGTGAGGAGGTTTGTTGGGTGTTTTCTGTTCATGTAGTTTATGGTTTGGTGTCGTGTTTGTAGTTAGCTATATTCTGGGTCAGGTTAGGTTTCAAGGGGACTTTGACATGTTGCGGGGAGTATGAGTTCGCTCGGTAAGTCAGTATTGTAGGGATGAATTCAGCATGGTTTCCTGGTTACAATCGGGTCGAGGGATAGAAGACTACCTTTATATTGGTCTTTTGTCTATTTGGAAATATGTTGACGTTAACTACATATATACAGCACAGTGGCTGTCGCGCGTCATTGGGCCATAGGTACCCTAAACACTGACAACGTATTCAATGCAACCAGTCCAGTCAGGAATAGCAAGCAGCACGATGACATAGTAGACCGAATACATCATTGCATAGAATCAAGAATCAGAATCTTAACCAAGCATTTAACCCCAGGGCCAACGGAGAAGCATCACAGGGACATGATTAAGCAATCAATCACAACTCACCAAAAGCCCTCGTGCGACATACTTTCGCGGCATAATCCAACGACAAACAATCCCAGCGACTGTGAATATAATTAAATCATCCATAGCAACTATCCAGTCATCTTCAGCACAAAACCAGAATTAAATAGCGCAATGACCACATGTACCGGTATAACAAGGTATACCAACTACACTACATTAGATGAGACGGAGCACATCACACCGAGCGAAGTACGCGCGACATCCCACGCAGTAGCCTGGTTCTGCATAACATCAAGTCTCACTTACATGGGCTGCCCAATACAGATACATTCGCGCACAGCCTTGCCGTAAATTAATATTGATTGCTTACAAGCGAAGGGCATTGGCGGGCTAGGACAGCCGGAGTTAAGTGTACCTGTATGCGAATATCTCCAGTCAGTGCTGGGTGATATCGGGCTTACTCCGGCAGTCCGGCTATAGGTATCGGTAATACACGTTGCTCTTTTTTTTTTTTTTTTTTTTTTTTTTTTTTTTTTTTTTTTTTTTTTTTTTTTTTTTTTTTTTTTTTTTTTTACTTTTTTGGGAATGTACTTAAGTACATGTATGTATGTGCATTGTATGTATGACTGCATGGGTAGATGCATTAGCTGCGTTGTGGCAAGCCTCCTGGCTGTTTGTCTCTTGTTAGCTAGACCGGGGAAGATGTAGGTGGGAGTATCCAATGAATGTGGTCCGTGGCTGCAGGGACCTATATTGGCGTGTGCGTTTTCTTGTCCAAGGTTTGGAGTATTTACGATCACAGTTTGGTTCGTGGGTAGGATAGTAAATATATCTATATTATTTTTTTTTTATGCAACGATACGTATTCTTTTTCTTTTTTTTTAATTAAAAAAAGATCTCGGCGGGAGCTTCCCCATATTCGACGTCTTTCTGCACTGCCTTATTAACTCGCCAGAAACTAGGCTCAGAAGAGAAGACGGAGAGACGACTTGCTTCAGTTTTAGCGGACGGACGGGATCAACAAGGCTCAGCCGCAGATTAACTCCACAACTTCACATCAGTGGGCTTTCTTATTCGTAGACTCCATGGAATGGTGTGCGTGGTCCGGCCGCTAAATGTGATTAGATATCTGTAAGTGCGGCAGCACCAGGAACGGTTCAAAGTGGGATTGTATGGTAACTCTCGGTTTAATAGTTACAATACTTAAGGGCAGGGAATCGTGACGACTGCAGCCTGGGTGAACTAAATGGACTGCTGTTACCAATCATACAGTAGTGACTGGGCGCTAAGAGGCTGGGGGCTCCACTGAGAAGCGGCCGCTAATATTCTGAGCTGTGGTGGTCCAGATTCCTTGAGGTATTTCTCATTGCGAAAAGGACCGCGCCCTTTTCAGAAATTAAATGTCAGATATGAGATCCCAGATGACTGTATAGTTGTGTGTACGGAGTAGAGAGGGGTGTTTGGGAACCAGGTACTCCGTACCGCATACCAGATACTACTCCGTACTTTGCAAAGGAATCCTGCCTCCTGCACAGGAAAACGACACGAGATAATTTCACTGGTGGCAGGTATTCTTAGCGCAGGCAGTGGGTACCTACTCCAATCAGTAAATCAACCAGGATGATTCCTGACAAGCCCAATGACAAATCCAGTACCGAAAATGGCGTGCTACATGTTAGGGGATTTAATTCGCATCAGATAGCAAATCAGCACATGGTCAGTGCTGCCCGTTGAGCTCAAACGGTCATGGATAGCTTCCAGCCATGAACAGCTGTCCACCCTGATACCCGTCTGGCTAAACCGTGGGTCATAGATGCTCAACACGGCCTGCAAGCATGCAAATGCAGCTTCACAGATCCACTGGGCAGAGTACTGGCGCCATAGTACCTACCTTAGGACCTCTCTTCAGCAGAATAGCTGCAGGTCTGCTGTACTGTAGCGATATCGAATGTATGGACGCGCATCCGGTGATGGCATAGTGCAGATCCGGTCAGCTCAGACCACCTACTGGTCAGAAACTCATGAGCTCAACACACGCTCTTCGGAGATTTTCTCGATGCTACCTCTAGGTGATCCACCCTGTTTCAACGGGATCGACAATGCAATTGTATTATCGATGCATGCCACTCCTTACAGCACCACGCATGTATCGCTAAATATTATCGGGCTGTGGCGGTTCTGCAGTTCAGATCTCTGGATATACGGGTGTAACCGTCTGGCATCAGGGGTCAGTGACTTGACAGCGCAGAAGTGATGCAGATCAACCACTTCGTAGAAGATTGTCTGTTTCATGAAGGCATTGACTGTCTGTGTATCAGATTTCGCCCCTCATTCTAAGGCCATATCTTTTCTTTTTTTTTTTTTTCTTTTTCTTTTCTTTTTTGTTAAATTCGTCTTACTTTCTTAATATGAATATTACCAATAGCGTTAAGACTGCTCAACCACCTCAAACCATGTAACCCAGAATATCCAATGAGACACCATGAAGAAGCGTCTAGTAGGCGCCGGCAGACGATCGGCAATGTAGGTTTCGGCTGGACAACAGACTGAACTAATTATAGTGATCATAGTGGTACGGTCGTACTCCTAGAGATATAGAGTAGCGTGGTTGAGGAATAACACTCCTTTGTTAATGTCGTACGTTGCGCAGAGATAAGGGGCTCTACAAAGCAGGTAAGTTGACATATCATGCCCATGCGATATTACTAATGATCACCTTTTCCATTAACTAAACATGGTAGTTACGACTTTCCCGCCAGTTGTTACTGTGAAAGATGCACTACTGCATAAGGAACCACCTGACTCGGCCGTGGCTAAACTCAATGGAGTAGCGCTCGGCCTCACAGCAGGCCTGAGGTGTCCAACGTCCGAGGGCCGTGCGATGAAGTCACCCGTGACGGACCCCAACTTCCCCGGATTTGTTCGGTGTCGTACTGCAGTGGATCATATGTGGTTAAATCGTCAAGACGGATCTGAGTTATCGGGCGATAGTATCAGGGAGAGCACATCGATACTCATCGAGGTACCAGATCCATATAGTAGTAGTATGTTTATGCTTAGAAGTAGTAGTCAGGCACCTGCCGGATGCCACCCTCGCCATTCAGGCCGAACCTGAACGTCATGGGCGTGGGGCGGCAGCCAATCAAGCGGGCCAATGCGACTGGCCGCTTGGACCGCGCAGCGGCTAACCTTAGGCATCGCCGCCTTGTGCATTATTCACCTCTTCCGGGTATTTTGCCCTCAGTTCTCCGATGGCTGGCCACTAAAAGGCTAGTCGTGGAAGAGAACATCTCGGGATGGACACACATCTGCACGGTGGCTAGAGTTGCCTGTGGATGTTATAAGGTCGTATTCGATGGACAGGGAAGCTTGTTAGTTTGCTATAGTTATCGAGTAACTTTTGACGCTCCTACACCTTCCTTGCTTAATCAGAAGAGCTAAAGAGCTCGACCAATGGAGCTGATAAAAATAACCCCCTCCATCATGCTACAGGAGAAAATGCAGTCCGGGACCTGACCGACGGTATTTTCGACCGTTCAATGGAATCACCATTAATTCTTTTTTTCATGGAGGGTTGCCACCAGGTTATTATCTCCCTTGTCCGTCGTATCGGACCCATATAAATCCTCATACGGAGTCCTCACCACGTTCTCCAGGCCCAGTCCAGAAAGTTTAAACAAGAAGGTGCAAGGTCAGCAAGGATAGACCGTCAGGAGACAGGCGAAAGTCAAATTGCGCCAATGCAACATGGGAGCGTCACGGACCATTCTGGATGGCTCGGTGGCTAAGTCC